ACATAGGCACAAGTGGGACTGCTGCCCGTGCCAGTGCAGAGATTGCACAGATAATAGACTTCTTCTCTTTGGGAGGGGCTCACTCCTTCATGGAGTAGTTTGTTTGTTGTTGACTTTGAATAAACTATGTAGTATTTGAAAGGGGCCAGATTTTTTTTTTTAAAGATTTTATTTATTTATGCATACAAGAGCTGGGGTGTAGGCCAGAGGTGCTGGGGGTGAGAGAGGATTCACCAGCGACAGAGTGGGGAGCAGAACAGGCAGATCTACTGAAATACACTGCTGAGGGGAGCAGCGGGTGAGACAGGAGAGATCTGTTGTGCCATGTGGGTCACTCCCCTGGCTGGGGATTGAACTCATGCTGCAGTAGCTGCGGAATGCTTCATAGTGCGGACATGCTTCATATTGCTGATGCTTAACCCCTTGCACCACCATGGAGGTGAAATGGGCCAGATTTCACCAATTGCCCTCAATCTCCATATCTTGACCTTCAGGTGTGTGCTCCTGATACCCCCTACAGCAGTCTGATACCTGCTGGGGTCTTGTGCTTTGTGATCTAGGCATTGGCGCCCAAGGATCTGAGTTCCTATAGCTGGGTTAATGGCTATGTTAATCCCTCCTACCCCCACCTCCAGCTCTTGGCACTGTGTGAGCCAAGTTGCTAATCTTAAGGCGCCTCCTTTCCAGTTTTCTACTGTTATCCTCCCTCAGAATGACCCCCCCCAACCCCCCTCAATAGTTTTATTAACTATAAACCTCCAGGAAAGTTTTTTAAAAAGTGCAATGAATAGCCATAAGCCCATTACCTCGATTCAATAATTGTGTTAATATCTTGCCACATTTGCTTTCTCTCTCTACAAAACCTTTTTTTTTTTCAGAACCATTTGAAAGTAAGCTGGAAGTGTCACTACTCTAGCCCTAACTACTCCAGCAAGCGTCTGAAAATAAATACATTATCCTATATAACCATAAAATTTTTATCATACTGAAGTGAATTAACAGTCATTCGATATATCATTTAACATATAGTCCATATTTAATATTCCCCAATTGGCCCCTGAGTGCCAGTTTGCTTTATTTTTTGATCCAGAATCCAATCAAGATTGGCAATACAACATTTTGTGTGTAGTATTGTGTTTCATGAAATCTCTTTTGATTGAAAATGTCTCCCTTCTCTCCTGTTTTTTTAAGACATTTTATGTTTGAAGTGTTCAGGTCAGTTGTCTTATGAAAAGCCCCCTACTGATGCCGTAGTCCTGCTATTGAGCCCTAGGGCAAATAAGGGTTAATTAGGCAGCTTCAGGGACAGTGCTGGAAGGGGCTTGGGGAGGAGAATTAAAGAGGCTTCTAAGATAAGGGAAACAAAAGGAATAAGGGAAGATCTGAGACCAGGGCAACAACTTCAAAGGGGGTTAATCAAACACCCCAGGACCAGGGACTGAAGGTGTTGCTGGACAAGAGCAATAACGAAAAAGGACTCTAAGATCAGGGCTGGGACACAGAGTGTTTATTGTGGGCACAGAGACATTTAGGCAGTGAGACCACTGGGAACCAACCAATCACAAAGAGACTGATGGGGCTTTAGAATAATTAGGGAAAGAAGGTGCATATTCCCTGAGGCAAGACTCCACTTCAGCTTCCTTGCCCTTCCCTTTCCTGGTTCCACCAGTCTGGGAGTCCCACTTTATTTCTGTTCCTTTTCTCCTTAATAAACTTTTTCGTTTTCTAAATAAATCTGCCCCTTTTCACTTGTTTGCCTGAGTATCAGCAAATCTCCTGCTGTGGCTTCATGAGACACCAACCCGTGGGGGTCTAGTGGCTGGGACTCAGCGCCCCCTGCAGCCTGGGATCCATTCCTGGCTGGGAGACTAGACTTGAAAACCTACAGTTATGCTATCACTGTTCTATATGAACTGCAAGTCACTGGGAATCTGAATGGATGTGAGTTCCAACATGCTTGCTGTTAACAATTTTTAATGGATAATAAATATTTTTTTGGAGTCCGAGTTCTCACTAGACCTCAGCAAGCCAGTTTTGGGGGAGCTTGGTAGAAGTTATTTCCAGATGAGCCTTAAATTCCAAGTATTTTCCTATTATTACCACTATATAAAATGCACTCTGGTTTCCAAATACAGGGTGTACTTTTTATTCTAAAAGTTAATATTTGTTTTCCTCTTATCTCCCTGTAGAAACCAAATTCTTTCAGTTGCTAGCCTCTTAAGTTTATCTGTGCTTTAATGTATTTTTCTCTAAGCTCATTTTCATTTCACCTATTTGATTTCTTAATCTGTCTACCCATTTTCAAGTAGAGCAAGGGTAGTCCTTGTCAGAACAGAACCAGACACATACAGAGTGTCAAGAATAAGAAAAACCTCTTTGAATATTTTTCATCGATACTTGTTAAAGTACTTTTTGTTGCAGAGGCTGCGATTGCTTCATAGTGCGGTGCTTAACCCCTTGTGCCACCAGGGAGGCACAAGTTCAATCCCCAGCCGGCCAGGGAGCAACCCACATGGCGAGGCAGACCTCTCCTGTCTCGCTCGCTGCTCCCGTCAGCAGTGTATTTCAGTGGATCTGCCTGTTCTGTTCCCCGCTCTGTCTCTGGTGAATCCTCTCACCCCCCGCATCTCTGGCCTGTACCCCAGCTCTTGTATGCATAAACAAATGAATCTTAAAAAAAAAAAAAATACTTCTTTTTGACACAAAATTAGTGACATGTGTTTGGAGTGTCCAAAGTACCTAACCATGGTATATATTTTTTGGGATCTTGAAGACAATTTTGGAGAATAACCATTTGTTTAGTTGCAAAATAATATTAATTTAATTATTAGACCTCAAATTATTTTAATTATATTCTTTGACTTACTCTTTACAACTCTATGGGGGTAATTGAAGTAGATGGTGAAATCTCTTTTTTTTTCAAATGAGAAAATCCAGGCTCAGATATGTGCACTTTGCTTGCTCAGGATCTTCTGCCTCTTTGGAAACAGATGGGATTTAAGTCTGGTTGCAGATGGGTAATACAGGGACTGAATTTACCTCATTCATTCTGTATCTTGTATATTTTTGCAAAATCAATGTGTTTATCTTAAAATACTTTAAATTTCCACCATCAATAACTCTTTGGTGTTCCCTTTTGGTACCATGAAACCTGAGGACTTGTTGCTTCAGGAGGCAGCCATTCAGTATAAAGTGTTCAAATCCCATTAAGCTACTTTCTGATTGATGCAGGTTGAAAAATTATTAATCCAATTTGTATATCCTTAAATGAAGACTCCAGTTGTAGCATTTTATATATCTCTTCCTGGTAACTAATATGCACTGTTAAGTTTTGGTTTTGCCACTGTTAAAAGAAATAGAAGAAGACACAAAGAAATGGAGAGACATCCCCTGCTCGTGGATTGGAAGAATAAACATTATTAAAATGGCCATCCTTCCAAAAGCAATATACAGATTCAATGCTATTCCAATCAAAATTTCAATGTCATTCTTCAAAGAAATAGAACAATTATTGATGAAATTCATATGGAATCACAAAAAACCCCGAATAGCCAAAGCTCTCCTGAAAAAAAAAGAAGGGAATGGAGGCATTACACTCCCAGACTTCAAACTATACTACAAAGCCATAATCACCAAAACTGCATGGTATTGGAACAAGAACAGACATACAGACCAATGGAATCGAATAGAAAATCCAGAAATAAATCCACAGATTTATGGTCAACTAATCTTTGACAAAGGAGCAAAGACTATGCATTGGAGCAAAGAAAGTTTGTTCAATAAATGGTGCTGGGAAAACTGGGTCGCTACATGCAAAAGAATGAAGCTTGACCACTACCTCACACCATACACAAAAATCAACTCAAAATGGATTAAAGAACTAGACATAAGACCTGAAACCATAAAATATATAGAAGGAAATATAGGCGAAACACTACGTGATCTGCACATCAAAGACATCTTTACAGACACATCACCCAAAGCAGTGATAGTGAAGGCAAAGATAAACAGCTAGGACTACATCAAATTAAAGAGCTTCTGCACAGCATAAGAGACAATAACAAAAACAAAGAGAAACCCCACCAACTGGGAGAACATTTTTGCACCCAACACTAATGATAAAGGACTGATCACAAAAATCTGCAAAGAGCTGATGAGACTCAGCAACAACAAAGAAAATAATCCAGTCAAAAAATGGGCAGAAGAGCTAAAAAGAAACTTCTCTGAAGAGGAAATGCAAATGGCCAACAGGCATATGAAAAAATGTTCAACATCACTTGCAATCAGGGAAATGCAAATCAAAACTACCATGAGATACCATCTTACACCAGTGAGAATGGCACATATTAAAAAAACTAGCAACAACAAATGCTGGCGAGGGTGTGGAGAAAAAGGAACTCTTCTGCACTGTTGGTGGGAGTGCAAACTGGTCCAACCACTGTGGAGAGCTGTGTGGAGATTTCTGGACCTACTAAACATAGAGCTTCCATATGATCCAGCAATTCCACTCCTAGGTATTTACCCAAAGGACACAGAAACATCAATTCCAAAGAACACCTGCACCCCTATGTTTATAGCAGCACTGTTTACAATAGCTAAGCTTTGGAAACAACCCAAATGCCCAAAAATAGATGACTGGATCAAGAAGATGTGGTACATATATACCATGGAATATTACTCAGCATTCAAAAAAGATAAACACATGCAATTTGCAGCAACATGGATGGCGCTGGAAGGGATCATGCTCAGCGAAATAAGCCAGAAAGAAAAAGAAAAATACCGGATGGTCTCACTCATAGCAGGAATCTAGAAAACTTAAATAAGGGACCAGGAAAATGAATAACTATAAGAAAGTGAAAATCAAAATCAACAAAAAACTATGAACCAGAGACACTTTTAGGGGGGCGGGGGCGGGAGGGGAGGGATTGGGGTCAGAATGGGGGGCTGCAATTGTATGGGGAATATAACAATAAAATTTATAAAAAAAAAAAAATGGGTAGAAGAGCTAAAAAGAAACTTCTCCAAAGAGGAAATACAAATGGCCAAGATGCATATGAAAAAATGTTCAACATCATTTGTAATCAGGGAAATGCAAATCAAAACTACCATGAGATACCATCTTACACCAGTGAGAGTGGCACATATTAAAAAACTAGCAACAACAAATGTTGGTGAGGATATGGAGCAAAAGGAACTCTCCTGTACTGCTGGTGGGAGTGCAAACTGGTCCAACCACTATGGAAAGCTGTATGGAGATTCCTCAACCTACTAAAGATAGAGCTTCCATATGATCCAGCAATTCCACTTCTAAATATTTACCCAAAGGACACAGAAACATTAATTCAAAAGGGCACCTGCACCCAATGTTTATAGCAGCACTATTTATAATAGCTAAGTTCCGGAAACAACCCGAATGCCCAAAAATAGATGATTGGATCAAAAAGATGTGGTATATATACACAATGGAATATTACTAAGCAATCAAAAAAGATAAACTCATGCAATTTGAAGCAACGTGGATGGAGCTATAAGGGATCGTGCTCAGTGAAATAAGCCAGAAAGAAAAATACTGGATGGTCTCACTCATAGCAGGAGTTTAGAAACCCTAAATAAGGGACCAGGAAAAAAGAATAACTATAATAAAGAAAAAATCAAAATCAACAAGCAACTATAAACCAGAGACACACTACGGGGAGGGGTAGCGGGGAGAGGAGAGATAGGGGTCAAAATAAGGGAAGTGCAATTGTAAGCAGAATATAATCAAGATGAAAATGCACACATTGTGCAAAAATGAAAGATGATGTAAGAAATATATACAGTAATAATAATAATAAAAATTAAAAAAGAAAAAAAAAAAAGTTTTGGTTTTGCTTTTCACTTAAAAGGTAACAGTGTTCATCAAACGTACTTAAAAAAAAAGCCCAAAGGAACCAGCCATAATAGTTCTTTTTGCTCTACCATACGTTTGCCTGTTTTGCATATTTCACTGATTATGGGAAATTGATAGATTGGAAATATCAACTTTACCATTGGTTATGAGTAATTGATATAGTCAAAATTATAAAGCAGCTCATTATGGACTCAAGTTCCTCTTCAGCAAAGTATAATAGTAGTGCAAGTGTATATATACATTATAGCTACACATATACACTACCCTATATAGATTATGTACATATATACATACATAGTATGCTTATTTTCTTTTTTGTGTTTGTTTTTCTCTCAAGATACAAAGATACAAAGCATCTTTGTCCCAGTAAGGCTGACATTATAAAAGACTTCTTATTTGTGAAAAGCAAACCACGCCAACCAAAACAAAAACAACCCAAATCAAATAGCAAATGAGGTAATTGCTTTGAGAAGAAAAAGAACAGTCCAACATTTATTAACAAGTTTCTTCCCAAATTTTCTTAATAAAAAAAAAAACCTCAAAAGCATTTTCTTGTACTTAAATTGCCATTTTCTGTTTTTAAATTTGCTCACATGTATTGCATCGAATTTATGAACAGGCATTGATAGTGTATATACATAAAACCAACACTTGCTGATGACTGACTTCTGAGGTGCTTACAAGTAGTGAGTTTTTTTATTATCCAACTTAAGCACAGCTCCACCAACTAATTGTTGCCCTAATTTTCAATATCTCGGTAACTTGAACTCTGACTTTGTTTGACACAATTAAGTCAGCTTTAGTAAATTTAGAAGCACATGTTAAAGAATTATCTTGCCTCATGCTCCTGGGTTGCCAATCCCTGAGGGCAGAAAACAAGAGTTGATGTGTTGGTGCATCTAATATCACAGGACTTGCTTATTACTATCAATTACCTAATAGAAAAAGAGAAGAAAGACATTTATTTACTGAAATGGGTCCCTGGGTCTCTGCCCCAGAGAAACAAATTCAGTCTTATGTGGACTATGTACACTTAACCCCCAAATGCAGACCAGTGCACTTCTGTGGTTCATTTTCGGTCTGATGACTTAGTAGAAGATCATTGCCCACCCCAATTCTGCTTGTTTTTGAATGTGTTGAACCAAGTGCTTTCTTCTCTAATTATGTAAGAAACAGACCCATGTCTAGTTATTTTGGGTCAAAGGAAGATATTAAAACTATTGATACTTTAAAAGTTTAAGTAAAATGTTAATCAAATGGTTTGTGATGACTTTCTAGGAAAATTCTTGAGTTGTGCACGACAATATCTCAGGAAGAACACAAGTGCTCTCTTTCACAACCAAAAGTTTTCTTTTTTAACAAATAGAATTGTTAAGGCAATTTTGAGTTTTGAAGCATTGCTGGTTGCTTTGCACTTTCATTAAGTGGTTTGTTTGATGCCTTGTTTTTTTTCTAAATTTTACCCACCAAAACTGCAATTATTAAATTGATTTTTAATTGTTATTGACATTTCTTAAGAGCAATCTTAAAAGGAGTCTTAAGAATAGTGGCTAAAAATAGTCAGATGAGACATATTACTAACTTTCCCCATGACAATTATAAATATTAGAAGAGTTTTCGAGACTGTGTCATAGTGTCCTAGTGATGCAAATTCAGTAAGAGTTATGTGAAGATGAACGTGTGACTTGTTACATGCCAAAATCATACATGTACAGTAAGAACAATGTAAACAACTCCTTCTGGCAACAGATCATAATTAGGAGGACACCGCATTCCAGGATCTGAAGAACTTCCTTGTTCCTCAAGAAAATGTTTCGTCCTGGTCCCATCAAAACAGTACACAAGACTTCTGAATAGACTCTTTGTTAAGCAACCCCCCTACCGCCCACAAGTGTTTATAAAAATCTTGAAATAATATTCTCACAAAAAGAGCAGAGTCTGAGTTTAGAGGATGAGAGTAACAAGTACATGCACAAAATCTGTCATTTCACCCGTATATAAATGGCTCTAGAGAAAGATAAATGAGAAACTACCAATTGCATAACACAGCCTTCATGGCACCTAACTGGGGGCAGGGGAGGAGGAAATAAATAGTTCAAAGGTAAATCCTCTGTCCCATAGTAGAATCAGGCACATCCCGTGGTGTCATAGACAGTAAACAGCCAGGTATCTTTCCAGATAACTTCCTGAGATTTGGAGTGTTCTTCAGAGTTCCTTATCTTACTCCTTCCAAATGCCAACATCATTGCCTTCAGTGTCCTCAGCCCAAAGTCAGCCATCCTGTAATATGAATTAGAACTTGTTATGTGTCTGGGTCTCATTTAACAAAATAAGAATGTTCTGAGAAAACAGTTTATCCAATAAATTCTAGAGAGGGCCTCAAATGACCAGTACCTTATATGCTCAAGATTTAGAGGGAAATGAAATATCATGTAGTCCACCCAGCACGTGAAATTATAAAGTCTCCTACATAGCATCCAAGAAAGATTTTCCCACAAGGGTGCTCCACAAGACACTGGTCCCTAAAATACTCAGAAATCCTAAATACTAAAATACTCAGAAATACACAATATATATATTATGTGTATGTGGAATATATACACATACTATATACACATACTATATACATATATACGTATACATATACACCTACTATATACTATATACCTATATATTCAATTTTGTTTGTCTAAGTTTTTCAGCCTTCTATGTTATTCGTTGATTAAATTTAATTTAGCAGAAGATAATAGAAAACAAACAAGCACTATAAAGGAAATGTACCTATTCTTAGTGCCAAGAGTCGTCCTGATCTGTCCCTGCCATTCAGGTGCTCAGTGATCACTGGTAAAATGATATCCACTGCCACAGAAAATATTCACACTCTTACATTTTAAAATGATTGTAAATAATGGCTTTCCTCTGAAGGAAATATACAGATTGCAACTATCTTTTCTGTTCATGATTATTACTAATAGCACTCAACATGGCTGACAATAAATAATAAATGCATAGATCATTTCTCTTATTGCTGTTTATTGGTTCTACCTGGCAGGAAAAAATAATCAGAAAACTCTTTTGTCCACATATTCAACTCTGGGTATAAATTTGTCCTATTTTTTCCTTTCTCATTCTCCCCTCGAACAAGGGTAAATGTCTCCTCATTTGTTACTAATTTGGTTGGGAGTACTGAGCTGTATGCCACATGCACTTTACACAAGAACAAACTGTCTTTTTATTTAGCATATATTAATACCAGTGGTCAATGAATCATCTCTGTGAGTTATGAGATGGTAAAATTGAAAAGATAGGAGACCCTGAATATAAAGATTAATTTTCAAAGAATAAAATTAAATTTAGAAAACTTTAGATCTTTCTATTTCCTTAGAGATGTTCATGAGCAGGAAATAATACCTATGTGTGTAATTGTCCTGCACCTAAAGCTTATGAACCCCTAATCCAGAAGCAAGGTTTAAGTAACCAGAAATGTGCTAGACCAGTAGACGTGAGCTTGTGACTAGTTTCACTGTTTGTCAAACAAAAGCAACTCAGAGTTCAAAGATGACCCAGAAGGTAGTTACCATCCTGAATTCTGTCATCAGTGGGAATTCTGTCATCATACCCATAAAAGCTTTCTTTCTGATATTTTAATGACAGCCACATTGCTTATGGGAACAGCCTTCACAGGACAAGGATGTTGCAGGGTGACTTACATAATTTCAGGCATTATCCAAAAAATCTTACACAATGATTTCTTATTTTGTTTGACCACATACCCACCCACCTGGTAATCTCTTCAGTGCTATAGACCCCACCACCAAGAAATAAGCATATGTCCATATATAATTTCACATAAAATATAATGTACTTTCATGAATGCTTGAAACCCTTCATGAGACCCCAAGTATCATCCTCTCTCGTCAAATCATGAATATTTTCTTATTCAACTTTATATGTCCAACTTGAACTATACTAGACCAGTAGAAGAAATCATTGAGTGGATATATTTGTCAAGACAATCCATAGGCTAACCCTTAAAAAAAAGTTGATGTCACTGGGAGAACATTTTTGCACACAACACTAATGAGAAAGGACTGATCACAAAAATCTGCAAAGAGCTGATGAGACTCAACAACAACAAAAAAATAATTCAGTCAAAAAAGGGGCAGAAGAGCTAAAAAGAAACTTCTCTGAAGAGGAAATGCAAATGGCCAACAGGCATATGAAAAAATGTTCAACATCACTTGTAATCAGGAAAATGCAAATCAAAACTATAATGAGATACCATCTCACACCAGTGAGAATGGCACATATTAAAAAAACTAGCAACAACAAATGTTGGCGAGGGTGTGGAGAAAAAGGAACTCTCCCGCACTGTTGGTGGGAGTGCAAACTGGTCCAACCACTATGGAGAGCTGTGTGGAGATTTCTGGACCTACTAAACATACAGCTTCCATATGATGCAGCAATTCCACTCCTAGGTATTTACCCAAAGGACACAGAAACATCAATTCCAATGAGCACCTGCACCCCTATGTTTATAGCAGCACTGTTTACAATAGCTAAGCTTTGGAAACAACCCAAATGCCCAAAAATAGATGACTGGATCAAGAAGATGTGGTACATATACACCATGGAATATTACTCAGCATTCAAAAAAGATAAACACATGCAATTTGCAGCAACATGGATGGCGCTGGAAGGGATCATGCTCAGAGAAATAAGCCAGAAAGAAAAAGAAAAATACCGGATGGTCTCACTCATAGCAGGAATCTAGAAAACTTAAATAAGGGACCAGGAAAATGAATAACTATAAGAAAGTGAAAATCAAATCAACAAAAAACTATGAACCAGAGACACTCTATGGGGAGTGGGGGGTGGGGAGGGGAGGGCTTGGGGTCAAAATAAGGGGATTGCAATTGTATGGGGAATATAAAAATAAAATTTATTTTAAAAAAAAGTTGATGTTGCAAATCTATACAGACAGAAAGTAAATTAGTTGGTTGCCTGGCACTGGGGTTATGTGGGTGGGATGGGGAGTGATGGATACAGGATTTTTCTTTTGGAGTGATATAAATATTCTAAAATTAGATTTTTAAATATGATTGCCCATTCTGTCAAAATACTAAATAAACTATTGAATGATATACTTTAGATTTATAAATGGTATCTCAATAAAGCTGTTTTTAAAAGTTGGTGTTATAAGAAAGGGGAAAAAAATGACTCAGAGGGAACTTATAATAAAGTTCATCTGAGTGAAGAATATGTGGCCTCTTTATTGTCTTCAATGAGGAAGGAACTAGAGGAATTTTGGTTAAAGGTTATTGGACTTTTTCTCATGGGAAACTATGGCGACTATGTGTTTAGGTCTTCTGAAGAGTGGCATGTGGAGGACTGCCTATAAGAATAAGCAGCCCTGAAGTGGCCCAGAAGCTTTTCAGCCTAACCCAGTATTCTGTTTCTGAGAACTATTCAATAGGGAGGCAATAGCTGTCTATGACACTGCATTATTATTTTTAATTAGTTTTATTTTTTAAATGATACTTATTGAGGTAATGTGGGGTCGCAACACTCTATGTTTTAGGGGTATATTGCTTTAAAGGTAGACTATGGACTGTTGGCTAGTAAATTTATCTAAGTATATCTTGAATCAATTCATATTTTTGACTGTTCTAGCAAATTCCACATGCTTTCTAATTTCCCTTGTGATGTGAGTAACAAGGGAAAATTGTTACTCAATTTTTGCGTGGAGGCAAAGCCTGGATTATAGGACCTTGCGATCCCCTTGTTTCTGATTCTCACTACCCCTTTCTCCAGATGCTGTAAAAAGCCTCTTTTTATAGACAAGAGTTTCCAATTTTTATTCTCTGCTTACAAGTCTTTCGTTCCTACTGCCTTTACTAAGTTTAAACCTGATTCACACTTGATGGGTAGTGTGCACAGCAGACACATACAATCCTTCCAGATCCTGGAACATCATTTTAGTACAGAGATATGGCAACCTTCACTAAGTTGCAGGTGGCATCCAGGTCAATTTTATGTAAGATGAAACTGAGATCCAAGGAGAAGAAAGCATTTTCCTAAGCCACACCGCTAACCAGCAACAAGATTAAAAGTGATATGTCTTGATTCCCTGTGATTCTGCTTTCAGAACTCTCAGTTTACATCCCCAAATTACCCTCATCTCAGGCTCTTCAGCCGCCTTCCGATTTTATTTGTGGTTTGAGCCAGCACTGACCTCCCCGTCCTGTCTGGTCTCCTCCATGTCTTCCTCATCCCGGTCAGGTTCAAACTCAGTGCCCCGGTCTACAACATCCACACCCTCCTGTACCCTGGGCTTCTCATTCTCCCATTTGGCGAAGCCTTTGTCCTTTGTGGCTTTATCATGGAACTTGGATTTCATTTTGGGGAAGGTGTGGGACCCAGAGTTCCCCCAGCCAGCTTCTGACCAGACAGGCTCAGTCTGGGTGGCTTGGCTGGTCGTGGCCCGCTGCAGCCGCACGGAGATCTTGCGGGAAGAGCCTGTAACTAAGGTGATGGCTCTGTCGTCCAGGTCTTGGTGTCCAGCAGTGACGCTGGGGAACTCAAACACCTCATCCTGCACTGGAAGAGGAAAGAGAATAGTGATTATTTGATATCTGACTGCTTCATAGAAAACCATAAAAGTTGGTGCTAACAACAAGAGTTCAATGCAAGGTCCTAGAGGAACAGACTAAGGACAAAACTAAAGTGGCTGCTGGTGAATGCATGTTAGTGAAACCTGAAAGCAGAGAGAAGTGAAAGGGATTCAAGGGTTTAGCCACTGCTGCTTACCCCGAAAAAAGGTCTTGGTGTTTATAATGACTCTGACTTGCTTTAGAGCCAGAACCCAACAAGCTCCAGGTATGGAAAGGTAAGGAGAGGGAAACTAAGATAGGAAAGGAAGTAGGGGGTTTTACCTGGGGGCAGAGAGGGGCTACCAGGCAGAGAGCCATGACTGCTGCCCAAGGAGGGGGCCCGGGCAAATCTCCTGCAGGCCAGAACCAGAAGGTCTTTGCACTGTTTGTGACAATTGGCGCCACAGTCTGAAAAATTAAAAAAAAAAATTCAGCTGATTAGTGAGAACCCGGCTTCCAAGGAGGTGTTTAAGGTGTCAGCCTTTCAGTCTCCCCAACTTTGTTTCTATGTTGAAGCTCTGTCTGCCTCAGGCCCACAAGGTCTGCCTCAGACCCAGGACTAGAAAAGGGCCAGTAGAACTCTTTTGCCTTCCCGGGGCCCCTAACCTTCTCTTGCATTTGCTCGGTTCCTTTACACAGCCCACTTAAATGCTGGGGAGTAAACAAGCAAGGGTGAGCCTGAGTGAGGAGTTACCTTTACCCAAAATTAAATGCAACCTCCATGGGATTGGGGTTCTTTGCCAGGCCAAGATGGATTTCCCACAAAGAGGTTCCTGGGGCTAGAGTGAGGGTAAAGAGCTTCAGTTCTAATCTTTCCCAGAACCACCTGCTGCCACTGATAATTAACAGCGAGGTATCCTTCCATTCAAATTTGTCTGCTTTTAAAATCTTCATTTCCAAAGACCTTTTCCAGGACAACAGGACAAGTGATTACATCTTTTTTTTTTTAGAAAACAAGGAGGTCATATACCCAATAAACATATTCCAGTTTTGATTATAGCTTTGAAATGGCATACAGCAGAGTCTTAAGTTTCCCATTAAGATACTTTAATCATGAAAGTAGACTATGAATTCTTTCTTGGGGTAGAAAAATATGGCCACTTTGCAAGATAGCAACACAATTATTTCATAAAAAGGTCTTATGCTTCCCTTGAATTGCTGACCAGATATTATTTTAAAGAGCGTCCTTCCATCTTTACCCTAAAAGAGGAACTTTCTAATTATTTTCAAAACACATTCCCTGCCACAGCACACCTCTCACCCCTCAATGGTCTTGTAGTGACAACTCAGAAAGATTAAACTATAATGGCATGTTCAGCCAATTCTCTATGTGCCATTAAGAGAAAATACCATACATGCAAATATGATGCAAAGATTTATTGATTTCCATCTTCAAATCTGTGTGTGTATGTATCTGTATTTTAGGGCATGTGAGACAGAAGCCAGAATAAAACAAATGACTTATAGTTGGGTAATATGATATTGCTACTTGAAAGTAAAAATTTAACAAGTTAAAAACAGTTGATGCAGAGAGGTACTAAAGGAAGGAGTTTTTGTGCACTAAACAGTGGCTTCTGTCGAGGGTCAGGAAAGCTGTCTATTCAAAATAAGCCTATGATTTGAGGGGGAAGCATTATAGGGGAACAATATTACTCTGTAGACACTATGTGATTAAGATATTTCCTTTGGGGAACACTTGTACACTGTTGGTGGGGATATAGAGTGCTCAAGTCCCCTGTGGATAACAGTATGGAGGTTCTCAAAGTATTAAAGATAGATCTACCACAGAACCCAGGAATTTCACTCCTAAATACCCACCTGAAGATTACAAAGTACTAATTTGAAGGGATATATGCACTGCTATGTTCACTGCAGCACTACTTACAACAGCCAAGCTATGGGAACAATGTAAGTGACCAAAAACACATGAGTGGATCAGGAAGGTGTGGTCTGTATATACAATGGAATACTGCTCAGCTATAAAAAAAAAAGATGAATTCTTGCCTTTTGTGACAGCATAGATAGAGCTGGAAGCTAAGTGAAATAAGTCAAAAGGAGAAAGACAAATACTGGGTGGTGTCATTTACATGTGCAATATAGAAAAACCAAACAAAGGGTCAGATAAAGCCAAACCAATAACAAACCCTAGAAATCTGATTGTAGAATGAGGCTACCAGACTTGGAGGGGTAGGGGAGTAAACAAATGGGGAGAGAGCACAATGAACTGTGGGTGTGGTGGTGGTGAGTCTGGTGTAGAAACAATCTCTAAAGAGGGAGACCCTATATCTAAATCATAAACAACATTGTAAACCAATGTTACTTCAATTAAAAAAGAAAGATTTTCCTTTTATAGTTTTATTATGCTTTTCTAGAACATTATCAGATTCTTAAAAGAACCTGTATAAACAGCCTACATAAAACAGCCAGCAAATTCTTAAACACCAATAATGTATCAAAATCATATATAAAAATTCCAGCACATCCCTGAATACCTATTATTATGTGTGTATATTGCATTTATGAAATATCTCTTTATTCAATTGCTTGTGAATTTCAATTATTGGGTAGACATCTGAGCAAATTCATGAAAAGGGACAAAAATAAGTTTTAAGCTTTTTCCTTATCATCTATCATTGAATAGAGAAAGGAACAGCTACATAAGATTGGAAAGAAAAGCATATGTATTACAGAAATTAACATGTGTGTTCTCCCTTGAAGGATAAGTTCTTATATATGATATTTTAGTTAGGCTTGTCCTGCTTCAAAACTTTATCCTGACAATTAGCAAGACATCCTAGACTTGGAGGCTCAATGTATGTGGGTTGATAATGGTAATTTTCTTGTTCTTGTAACAATTCATAATTCCCATCTGGATTTTCCAAAACTGGAGGAATCCTTCCCTGTACATGTTAACTCCTCAGTTGCCAGCAGCCCGAAAGACTTATATTTAATCAGCTTTTGTTTTCTCATCAGACAAATTTGGTTCCAGCCCTAAACATCACACTTAAAAAATTTTAACAAAATAATATTTATTTACCTTTGCATTTATATCCTTGCTTGATTATGCCCCAGAGCTGTAACAAAAGACAAAAGAACGTCAGGGAATCTAAAGAGAAATCTGGAAAGAAAACAAGGCCCCAGAGAAGGAAGTCCCGGGAAGCACTGTGACTGGTGGAGCACAAACAGGATGTGGCTGCTCCTGACACCCTTCCTGTCAGATAGATGAACCTCTCCCAGCTGCTCCAGCTGCAGTGATAACAGCTCTGCTTCCCTTTTGTTTGGGGGAGCCAAATGGAAGTTGGGATGGGAAACTGACGTTGGTGTGTTTATTGGACTTTGGCATAATACACTTTCAGCAAAATTTACAGGAAGACTTTGTTGCTTGGTCTTTGGAAGCCCCTCATTCCCACCACCTTATCTTTGATCATGCTAGCTGTTCTTCGTACCCACACAAGAAAACTGATCAACCTAAAGCATGCATATCTCACTAAAGCATTTAGAATTTCTTAGGTTATTTTCTGAAAACACTTCCTCTTCTGGAAAGAATACCTTGAAGGAATACAGAAGAGGAAAGGATCTAGTATTGATTCTTGTATTCCTTCTTCACATTTTCATTGTTTGACCTATACCAGAGCTGTGGGAAATGCAGAAAAGGCTCAGATACTGCCAAACAAATAGGATGGAGGAAGCAACAAATGTCTCTGGAGAGATGTGAGGTCAGCATCTTGGTAGTGGTATCTCTGACCTCTTGATGGACTGCAAACTCCATGATGAAGGGGCCTTGTCAAGATTATTCTAATGCTGCCCACACAACATTTGCACGTGGGTTCCAGGGCACCCAGAAATACACAGTATTGATGAATTAAATGAGACTACCCACTCCTAACCTTGCAGTGGTTAGGTTAGGTTAGGTTAGGCTAGATGATTGATATCTACTTGATGAAATGATTCCAAAGAAGTAGGGCTAGTGACCTACTGGGCTGATGCAGGTGCTGTTCACCTTTATTACAGGGGAGCATTGCTCAAAGTATGGGCACCATGGTCCTATGAAAAGACTAAAATAGTGCCAATGTGAAGGGTCACCAGGGCACTAGCAAGGCTATTCTTTCACAAGGAAACTCCCTCAGCACTAAGTGACTCTTTTGAGCCTTAAAAGTGATTTGGTCCTTCAGAAAACTTAATTAAGATGCAAACACTTCCTGGAATATGGCAGCATTTTTGCCTCTTGGACAGGAAGCATTATTAAGACCACTGATGGGAAGCAAGATCTCAGGTGTCAGGATGACTGGAAGAGGAATGGGGAGTTGACACAAACGGGAAACGCTGCTACAGGAGCTACTGAAGAAGATAAAGTGGCGCATGAGTCTTCAGGAAGGGGAGTTGGAGCATTCCTGATCGTGCTTACTCAAGCACAAGGAGGCAGCACTCCCAGTAAGAGGCACTGGGTTAGAATGCAGCCAAGGAAGGAGAGGATGCCTCATGGGGGTGAAGGACTCCCCAAATCCTTGCGCTGCTGTAAGATTTGGCATGAATATGGTGTAGGGGCACTGGACTGGGAGTCAGGAGCACTGGTATGAGTCTCAGTCCTGCCGCCAATAACCCCTGTGGCCTTTAGGGAAATCACGTAATTTCTCCAGATCTCAGAATAAGGGAATTAGCAAAAACTCTTACAATTCTGAAATTTGAATTAAAAAATAAATGTATTTCAAGTAGTGTCTGTTTGTCTTACCCTTAAAATGGAATTTATTTCAAAAACTGGTGGTTTGGCAGTAGAAAATGGTTTCCTGTATTCCCTCAACATTCTTTTTAATGATAAATCTAGAAATTTATATCTATAAATTCCTTTGAAAACCAGTGGACTTAAAAAAAATGTTTTGAGTAAAGACTGAGTCAAATTGTAACTGTGGAATGAAATATATTTTGAAAAACAAAAAAGCTACAAATTTTAAAGTGAGTTATTCTTAATTAAACTCCAAAAGGAGGGCCTCCCTGGTGGCACAGGTGGTTGAGATGTAACCTATGAAGCTGTCCGCAGCCACTGCAGAATGAGTTCAATACCCAGCCAAGGGGCTACCCACATAGCATAGCAGACTTCTCCTGACTTGCCCACTGCTCCCCATCAGCAATGTATTTCAGTCCATCTGCCTGTTCTGTTCGTCACTCTGTCTCTGGTGAATCCTCTCACCTCCAGACCTCTGGCCTGTACCCCAGTTCTTGTATGCATAAATAAATAAATCTAAAAAAAAATAAACTCCAAAAGGAGACTCAATAAAAAGTAACAAAAAAAGACAAATATTTGCTCTGACTTATGTGACATGCAACAGACATGATTTCATTTAACCATTACAATGACATAGCAGGTTAAGTGTCAACTCCCCTTTACAGTAAGAAAACAGAGATGCAAAGATAACGAATAACTTGGTGAAGGACATGGTGTTAGTAAGGGGAAGAACTGAGATTCAAATCCATGGTTCCAGGGTCCAAGTCTATATTTTTCTACCTCCTCAAAGCTCCATGCTCACTGGGGTGGGCTGATATCTCATTGTGGTTTTGATTTGCATTTCCCTTACAGTAAGTGATGTTGAGCATTGTTTCATATGTCCCCAGGACATGTGAATATCTTCTTTGGATAAATATCTATTTAGGCCTTTTACCCATTTTTTTTTTAAATTTTTTTTAAGATTATTTATTTATACAAGCACTGGGTACAGTCAGAAGTGCGGGAGGGCGAGAGAATCCACCAGAGCCAGAGCGGGGAGCAGAGCAGGCAGAAGGACCGAAGTACACTGCTGAGGGGAGCAGCGGGCGGCAGGAGAGGTCTGCGCGCCATGCGGGACCCCCACCAAGTGGCCGGGGATCGAACCGGTGCTGCAAAGGCCACGGGCAGCTTCGCAACCCAGCGCTCAACCGCTGCGCCACCGGGGAGGCCCCTTTTACCCATTTTTTTGACTGAGTTCTTTGTTGTTGTTGAGTTGTATGAGGTCTTTATATATATATTTTTTAAATTAACCCCTTGTGAGATATGTGATATGCAAATATCTTCTTCCAATTTTTTGTTTTGGTTTCTTTCCAGGTACAAAAGATTTTTAGTTTGATATAGTCCCTTTTTTTGTTTTATTTTGTTTCCCTTGCAGAAAGTGGCGGCGGAGGTGGGTGGGTGGAAATAACTGGAGGGAAGATAATACTCATGGCTCTGGAGAGTAAGGCATGTATACATGTGGGGGTTGTACTTTGAAAATTACAGATTATGTAAACTAGTGGCAAATCAACAAATCTTGAAATTAAAAAAAAAAAAAAACACCAAAAACCTGGCACCATCAAATGTGTTCTGATGAGTTGGGGAGAGAGTGGGGCACAGCCAAGAAAGACTAGTGTGGTGCCTCTATGGAGTCAGTACCTCCATAGGGAGAGAGACCAGAGGATTAGACAGCAGTGATCTGAGAAGGACCTTCCCACTCTCTTACCACAGTAAAGGACAGATGTCTCAACCCAATCTTTGGCTGAGCAGTATCAGCTTAACAGATTTACTGAGTCACACTCTGCAGGAGAAAATTCCACATGGTCCCGGTCCACTCTAGCATTTTTCAGGTCTGTATACTTCCAAAATTCCCATCACAAGATAGAAACATGGAAAAAAGAAACACTTATTTCATGATAAATTGATTGGGTCCCAGAGGTGAAGCTGATAGAATTTCTCCTTCCTAGGGTGGCAAAGAGAGCATGTGATGTTACATGTGCATCTAGTAAAAGGGGCAAGAGCACCAGAGTACAGAGACTGGGTGATACTTTCTCTACCCCCATTTATATGCAGCTGCCTTAGACTACAGCTTCCAGAAGGCCATGACCTAGACTTCCTGAATGGGGACATGGCTGGGAGGGAGTGAGGTGGATGTATGTTGGAGGTGGAATTAAGGAGGAAAGACACTTGGAGGAGACATGTGGAGGAGATACATCTGGGGTGGCTGCCCCTGGTCCTTAGCAGAGACAATGGCAGTTATTATTTATCACCTTTTGTTCCGGCTTTCTGGGTGGGACCTGCCTAATCCCTTTCCTGTGGTACCTTGCCAGAAGGTGTCTTAAAACTGTGGCAAGCTTTTGGGTCTCAGATGTCCCACTTCAGGTTGAGCCTATTTGATTGGGATTTTGCCCACAAGAGGATGGGTAATTTTTGGAGTTGTACTGGGAATCTGTTATTTGTAATCCTTTCTTCTCTTTCTCTCTTTCTCTTTTTTATCTCTCTTGCCATGCCATTTCTTTTTTTTTTTTTAAAGATTTATTTATTTATGCATACAGAACTGGGGTACAGGCCAGAGGTACAAGATGTAAGAGGGTTCACCAGAGACATAGTGGGGAACAGAACAGGCAGATTGACTGAAATACACTGCTGAGGGGAGCAACAGGTGAGACAGGAGAGGTCTGCTGCACCGTGTGGGTCAGCTCCCTGGCTGGCCGGAGATCGAACCTGTGCTGCAGAGGCTGAGGATAGCTTCAAGTGTTGTGTTTAACCCCTTGTGCCACCAGAAGGTTCCCTCACCATGCCATTTCTATTAAAGCTCTTTCACACTAATAATCTGCTTTCTTTGCCTTTGTGCACATGGATGACCAAACCCTTAGAATGTATACCCCATCACTTAACAGTTTAGGGTAACTTGGTACCCTTTGTTACATGCTTACAGTTAAGTGGTCCTTCCTCGCCCCTTGAGCACATTAGTTGATATGACTACCTGGGTGATTTTTGAGGTAACCATTGTCTCTTCTATACTCACTTTCAGAGACGTGTCCCCTGTTTCCCCCAAACCAGTTATTCAAGCACAAGATGGGAAAAATGTCATTTAGTGGTAACCCAGATTATCAGGAGCAAATTCAACATGAGTCAACAGTGATATACCACTGCTAAATAAAGCTAATACAGCTGAGCTCTGGTGTCTGGAAAAAGGGTGATAGTTACACTCACCAGGCTGGTGGAGGACCACATTTTCCATCTTATATAACTTGGGGTATGTCCTAGAAGATGTACAGGGACTGAGAGTCTTTGTTTAATACCTGGATCAAAGTTGACCTTAATTCCCAAGGAATTGTCAAATATGGGGAAATGGAGTAGACAGTCTCCATTTGCAGCAGAGGTGTAGGAAGAGCATAGGATTCAGATTGAGAATACCTCCATTTGCATTCCAGCTCAGGTCATTATTGATTGACTCTAGGAAACTTGGGTTATTCTCTTTGGAACTCAATTTTCAGAGGCAAATGGGAAAGGTGAGCCTTGTTCACCTCAAAGGCTTGTTATGAGGGATTAATTGCATGAATGTCTATGTAAGTACTTAGATACTGTCAAATCCCAAGTAAACATTATTTATTATTATAACCATCTTCTCTCCAAAATGATTTTTCCCTTTTTGAGTTGTGAATTATTGAACCACGCCATAATGGATTTCTAGTGACACACAGTGGACAAGAACAAAAACTGGAAGGAATAAGCTAAACACTCCCTTTAACTGAATGCATGAGAATTCATGATGAATGACAGGGTTCCTTGGGCTCAACCTTTCTGCAGCAGGGATTAAAAGTCAGACCACTCTCTTGAGTTAACAGACCCTCATCTTCCCTGTCTTCACCAGCTTGCATTATTAGAAGAGTAATCTCTTCATTCATGTCTTAGATCTACACCCAAAGACCTTGCTTTTGTTTTTAACTTAATTTATACTTTCAGGAAGCCATCTTGTTTTACTTCTGATCTAAGGCAGACAATGGACTCTGTTAGTGTATCATTTTCCTACTTGTCAGATGCTGCACAAATAACCACATATCCAAGCAAACAACAGAAAACAGACTTACAAATCCAGCACAGTGTTCGCAGAAGGTCGGCTTGAGATAGGTCATCTCCTGAAAATTATGGACAAATCCTGGCCCCATTTTACAATGTAGTTGGGACTTTGCTCTTAGGAAGTAAGCCATCATTTCATCTTTACTAATTAGGCCATCCCTATGAGAAGAATCAAGAAGGAAAGGATGTTTGAGAATTAATTTGCTAAATTGTTGCTACACTTTAACCACCTACTTTCAAACTTTGGTGGTCAAAAGCAGGTGAGGAATGTTCACTTCTCTGTTACGTCTGAAGAGAGGAGTGGACTTCAAAGGACAGCTTTTGGTGCCAAAGACATTCTTAGTAAACAGAAGGGGTGTGTGTGTGTGTTTCCTGTGTACTTACACACAAAGTCTCCTTCATTACCAAATAACTTACCAAATAACTTCATTACCAAGTAACTTCCAGAAGGGTATCTCCCTTCTATCCATTGCCTACCAATAGAATTTACAAAAATCAGGTTGCTGGACAAAGGCAAAAATAGTAATAACTGGGCCCATCACCTCAAATTCATTCAGCCTGATATTATCCAGGTCACTGTCATTGGTAATTTCTCCATTCATATCTCACTAGCTCAAAGCCCAGTCACCTGCCAGAGTAATCACTCCAGATCTTCTCCACACAAGGCTCCATTTCAACCTAGATCACACATACCAATTTCTTGTTTACCAAAAATGTCTACTTGACATGAGTGAGTTCCATATTGCCTTCTCTCCACACCAGTACGTGTTGGAGATTGTACCTTTTTCTGTGCCAACTCAGAAATCCTTCATATCTAATCGGTCCTCTCTTGTTTTCCTATCTCCAGGGAGGTCATACCCCCAATCTCCACTTTACAGTCTCCTGAGGATACTGCTCCTTCCAGGCTCAGCTCAGTCTCTTCACCTACTTCTATTTCTGTTAACAAATACACGCAGACTTACCCTCCTAAAAATGTCTTCCCTTGATTCTGCTGTCATCTCCAACCCTTGCCTTTTCTCTCATCCTTTTCTAACTCCCAAAGTTTTCAAAAAGAGGTTTTTTTTTTTGCGTTTTCTTCAATTACTTCCATTACTCTTTATTTTATATAGTCAGGTTTCTAACTCTGCCATTCTATTGAAACTGTCACGATAGCATCTTCAGTGACCTTTTCTCATTCCTTGAACTTGTTGACTTTTGGACAGTGTGTGACATGAAGAACAAAGGGAAGAAATGTGTAGTTAGCAGGTAACTTAAGTTTTATTTTGTAAAGGAAGTTATGTTTCTAATAGTTCACTCTACTTGAAAGTGCACTTTGTTCTGGATCTGTAATAAAAGCTGAATTAAAGTTTTAAGACATTTAAGATAAAGTACCGTGACTTTTCTTGCTGTGTGGAATTACAGATTTAATTCTTAAAGAAAAATTCTCACATCAACAAAAATATCAGAGAATTTTAATGTGATATGATATGGACTTTTCGCCATTGTAAACTCTGTTTCATTAGGGATGCTTTTTAAACTAGGAACTAATCTCATATAATTAAAAATGAAGCAATCGGGCCTCCCTGATGGCGCAGCGGTTGAGCACTGGGTTGCGAGGCTGCCCGCAGCTTCTGCAGCACAGGTTCGATCCCCAGCTGCTCCCCGGCCACCGGAGGAGGGTCCCACATGGTGTGCAGACCTCTCCTGGCGCCCGCTGCTCCCCTCAGCAGTGTACTTCGGTCCTTCTGCCTGCTCTGCTCCCCGCTCTGGCTCTGGTGAATTCTCTCACCCTCCCGTGCTTCTGACTGTACCCAGTGCTTGTATAAATAAATAAATAAATAAATAAATAAATAAATAAATAAATAAATAAATAAATAAACAAGCAAACAAATAAATAAATCTTAAAAAAAATGAAGCAATCAAAATTATACTAGTTTTCTAAGCAATATACATTTTACAATCATTACTTTTTTAACATAGCTGGATTTTAGCTTCTAAAGTCATTTTATTTTTCAGAAACTCTTTGAAGCTAATGACAAATATCTTTTATCTTTGTTTAATCAAGATGGTTGATGTGATAGCAAATAAAAAAGCAAAGCATGAATTTCTTGGCTATATGCAGCCATCACCTTCTTTCATGAAGATGATAAATAAGGTAATAAAGTCATATTTACTTGATGAGTCTTAGGCCCACAGATGTTCAAGACTCTACCAGACTAGCTCTAAATACAATTTCTCCTCTACTCTTTTTTGAAGGTAGTGTTGAGGTTGATGAGCTTGCTGAGTAATAGAAGTAATGTGGGGGATAGAGATCTGGGCTAATCTGCGGATGGGTGCCTGTACCCAACACTGATGATGTAGTCTTCTCTGCGGTCCCAACCAACTGGTCATGCTCATGAACACCAAGGCAAAAACCAGTAAAAAGTTAGGTTTGTCTCATCAGTACACTAGGATTGGAGTTGTCAAAATGTAAATGAATGGTTTCCCTACTCTCCTCTGATAATAACTTTCTGCATTAAAAAAATAACAAAATTAAAACTTACTGATCTTTGTCCAGCACGCAAAAGGAATCCAAGAAGGGAAAATTGGCAGCTATACTTTCAAAGTCCTCTTGAGAAATGTACCCATCATGGTCATGATCATAGTTTCTAAACACAGACTGCAAAGGAAAGACAAATGTTTATTAAATGATTATGAGTCAGAATCTGAACTTGTTATTGGAAAACAATTATAAGTAGATATTATTCTTTCTCTCATGGATCTTAAAATCGAGTGGGAGATAACTAAATCAAGGAAGCTTAATAGTATAAGAAGATAAATGTGATGCTGAGGATAAAAAGAGTGTGCTCAGGCTGTGAAAGGATTTAAAAGGAAAGTGTGGTCTAAACTGGTACCTCAGAGTTGTGTAGGAGTTAGGCTTGCAGAACAAAGACTAATATAAAATTAAGCTTTAAAATGTTAAATCGTCTCAAAAATTGAAGTATACTTTTAATGCAATTCCACTCAAAATGCCAGTGAGAATTTAAATGAGCAAATTGATTCCAGAGTTCAAATAAAAATGAACATTATTGACAATAGCCTAGGATGTTTAAGATAAGAAGGAATAGGGGAGAATGTGCCCTATCAGAAATCAAGTATTCTACAAAATTACATTAATTTTACATTAATTTTATTAATGCAATTTATATTAATTAATTTATATTAATTTTATTAATAAATTACATTAATTTTATTGTAAAATTTATTTTAGATTAGACTTTTCAGTCTCCTGAGGATACTGCTCCTTCCAGGCTCTGCTTAGTCTCCTCACCTACTTCTATTTCTGTTAACAAATAACACAGACTAATTAAAACATTGTTTTAATGTGATTTATCACATTGACTTATTGTGATTTACTACAGAGAGTAGAGTCCAGAAACAGTTCCCATGTATACACAAGAACTTAGAATACCAAAAAAATACCTTTTCAAATCCACAAGGAAATAATGGATTATCCAATCATTACTATTGTATTGAAATGGCTAACAAACTTGAAATATAAATTGCCCCGCAAACTAAATTCTAAAATTCTAGATACATCAACTATATTAATGTAAATGTATAAAGCTATGAAAGAACCAAAGGTAAATTGATGCAAATAATTTTTGTGTTTTATAAACCTTGAGTAGGAAAGACCCTCCTCAGCATGTCACAATGTCAGAAACCATAAACAAAAATATTTTATTACAATAAAATGCAAAATACCTGAATAGAAAAAATTTAAAGATAAATTACAGAAAGTTGTCTGCAATATATATGAAAAAAGATACACTGATCAAAGTGAAAATTCAAATGGCCAATGCGGTCATGGAAAGTTTGTCAACTCTGCTAATTATTATATAAATGCAGACAAAACTTTTTTTACCTCTCAGATTGGGAGACATTAAAATAATTGGTAATTTCAGAGGGTGTGAGAAAATAGGCACTCCCTTATCCCATTGGTGAAGTGAACAACCACAAGCTTTCTGGAGAACAATTAATGCCCATCTTACATAGCAAGGCCACTGCAGGAACCTGTTCTAAGGAAGTAATGGAGCAAGTTTACTCAAAGATTTGCTGGTATGCCTGCTTTTTGTAACTTCCAATTCAAACACTTTGCTTTTTTACTTCCATGTTAGCACCTGCTGTCGCTGAGAGATTTTTATTTTTTACGGCAAGATTTTACGACAAAAGCTGAAAAGCAAGTACAGTGGTCCCGTTTGTTTGTCCGGAAACTTAACAGAGGCCTCAACTACACCACAATTAGGCTTATGATAGGAATATGTGATGCGCTTTATTGTGTAAGTGTCACCAACAGTGAGGGCAACGCTGAAGTATCTTAATGAGAGATGGGGAATGACAACAATATAAAATTGCCTGTTGCCAGCATCAGGAATGTGCTTAAAAATCTAATAGTCATAGGGCCTTCCTGGTGGCGCAGCGGTTTGTGTGCCGCACTTTGAAGCTGTCCGCAGCCTCCACAGCACCTGTTTGACTCCTGGCTGGCAAGAGAGCTATCCACGTGGCGCGGCAGACCTCTCCTGCCTCGCCTGCTGCTCCCCTCAGCAGTGTATTTCAGTCAGTCTGCCTGTTCTGTTCTCCACTCTGTCTCTGGTGGATTCTCTCACCCTCCCACACCTCTGGCCTGTACCCCAGCTCTTGTATATATAAAATAAAAATCTTTAAAAAAATGCTGAAAGGGCCTCCCCGGTGGCGCAGCAGTTGAGCACTGGGTTGCGAAGCTGCCCGCAGCCCCTGCAGCGCCGGTTCTATCCCCGGCTGCTCCCCGGCCACCAGAGGAGGGTCCCATATGGCGTGCAGACCTCTCCTGCCCGCCGCTTTTCCCCTCAGCAGTGTACTTAGGTCTTTCTGCCTGCTCTGTTCCCTGCTCTGGCTCTGGTGAATTCTCTCACCCCCCTGTGCTTTTGACTGTACCCAGTGCTTATATAAATAAATAAATAAATCTAAAAAAAAAAAGCAATGGAATGTTTAAGAAACCTTTAAAAAAAAATGCTAAGAGTCACAATGGAAAATGGGACTTTAGGGAAACTGTGTCCCAAAGCAGTGAATGAATTTCAAGGCTTCGAACCAACAATAAATATGGCAATAGTGATTGGCTAACATCTTGAAGAGGTTTTGGCTTCCTGTGACCAAGAACTTACAGATGAAGAGCTGAGGTAATTACGGAACATGATATAGCAAAGGCTCTATCTGGGACTAACTAAATCCAAAGCACTTGCATGAAATTTTCACTACGATGCACCCAGCTGCAATGATTGCAGAGAAGTCTGACTTTAATTTTGGAAAGGCATGTAGGCTCAGGGCAGGTTTACAAAATGTTTTGAGTGACTAAAAAGAATTGTATAGTAGAAAAATCTGTGAAGTTAAGCAGTTAAACATGCTGTCGTATTTCAGGCCTGCCACATCAGCCACAGCAAAGAGCCTAGACCCTCCACTCGGAGGAAGCCAGACAGAAGAATATAGATGTTAGCGACCTGTCAACCCTGATGGAATCAGAAGATGGTGCAATGTTAAAGACCAACCTTCTTTCTCCCCTGTACCTCAGTCTCCTGTCCCTCCCAACACCCCAACTTATGATGGATGATTCAACCTGATGCCTCATTCCTTACCACCACCTCTCAGCCTTTCGGCATCTTGCTGTCTTCCCTATTCTGGTGAGTAAAACTACTCTCTACATATGTTAGTCCTACTTTTTACAGGCTTTGTATCCTTTTTGCATTTGCTAGCACTTGGTATTATTTTAGGTTTTATATTTTATTTGGTATCACTTGGTAGGTTATTATTTGGGCCTGGGAATGCTCAAAAATTTTTCCACACAAATTAATAGTGATTACTTCTTTGCTTTATGTGATTTCATCTTACAAAAGAATATATTCATAGATATATTCTACTTTCAGAGAGCAGGGGAAACCTCTATATTGGTGTGTGAGGGGTGTGTAGCAGTGGAGGGGGAGTGAAATTACTCAAGAGAATTTACAAATCATCAGTTTTCAAGACCTCCAAGTAAAATTTATTGTCTATATTTTGTGCTATGTTGAATATTTACAAAGATTTTGCCTTTCTCTATAATCAGAGAAAATATACAAAATATGTTCTCATTGCCCTCTGCCAAACTGGGCTTTTTTTTTTTTTTAAGATTTATTTATTTATTTATACAAGCACTGGGTACAGTCAGAAGCGCGGGAGGGTGAGAGAATTCACCAGAGCCAGAGCGGGGAGCAGAGCAGGCAGAAGGACCGAAGTACACTGCTGAGGGGAGCAGCGGGCGGCAGGAGAGGTCTGTGGCCATGTGGGACCCTTGCCGCGGCAGCCGGGGATCAAACCAGCACTGCAGAGGCTGCAGGCAGCTTCGCAGCCCAGAGCTCAACCGCTGCGCCACCAGGGGAGGCCCCCAAACTGGGTTTTAAAAAAAATTGTGAGTTCTTATTTGCCGAGCAGTCTGGTTATATTGCGTCTTTCTCTCTTTTCCCAATGGTTTCTTTCTATACTGTCTTATCTATATGCCCATTGTTGTAAGCTGCTTTGAGTATTTTGGCAAGGTATAAATGAACAAACTAAAGATATGATTGTTCAGTACCCACTGTAAGTTTATTCATCCATAACTGAATTTTACAAAATCACAAAATGTTACATTGTTTTTGTAAGTCCCAATATATCCATTATCAAAATTACTTGAAAATTAACTATTTTAGAGGGACTACTATATAGTCTACTATCCATATTTATACTGAGAGTACAAGATTTTTTTGTGGAATATAATTTAGTATGGTAATTTACAATAAAGCCCAGTCTTTTATTTGATGATGGCAACGATAAGCAATTTGTCCAAACTAGTTTCAGTTCCTATAAAACTGAATTGGAGAGAAGAAAATATAGAAAGTACAAGGTAGAGATAGAGGGAGGAAGAAACAGACTCCCCAGGTGGGATAAAAAAAAAACTGCAGGAATAGGGAGAGCATTTAGAGAAAAGCAGACAGACAATAGCTTTGTCTTCTATTTCCTAGTCCCAGGATGCTGACCTTCCTCAGCCTGGCTCCAAGTTGGGTCTGTTACAACCAGCTCATCACATGGCCTCCCCTGGACCTTACCACGTAGGCACCCCCTTCCCTCACCCTTTCTAATCTTTCTCTGCTGCTTCACATGCTCCATCTAACTTTTCTTTCAGTGCCCTCATAGTTTCCTGGATAAGCCATGATAGAAAACATTCTTTTTTCTTGAAACAGTCTTTCCCAGAAAAAGTACATTATAAGTAATGTCTTAATCCTACTGTATCAGAAATTGTATTGATTCTTTTTTTTTTCTTAAAGATTTATTTACTTATACAAGCACTGGGTACAGTTAGAAGCGCGGGAGGGTGAGAGAATTCACCAGAGCCAGAGCGGGAAGCAGAACAGGCAGACTGATGAAGTACGCTGCTGAGGGGAGCAGCGGGAGCTGCAGGAGAGGTCTGTCGCACCATGTGGGACCCTCGCCCGGGGCTGGGGATCGAACCAGTGCTGCAGAGGCTGCGGGCAGCTTCGCAGTCCAGTGCTCAACCGCTGAGCCACCAGGGGAGGCCCAGAAATTGTACTGATTCTTAAAGATGTTGAATCAGAGACCAGTTTCTAGTGTCTGACATATTTCCATTTCCTTCACGTTGGTGCTTGTTCTTCTTTCCATATAGAAAACTCTGACAGAAACACGTCCTCTGTTAAGTGATATTTCTGAACTAAGTGGTATTGTGCTGCTATTTCACAGAGACACCCCCTCATATATATATATATATATATATACACACACACACACACACACACACACACACACACACACAGCAGGAGAAACTATCCAACAGGGGCAACAACAGAGGTGTCACCTGTTGGGGAAAGACAGGAGCTGCATGCAGCTTAGAGTAAACAAGTGAGAACAGACTGACAAGAAGGGGAAAGGGGACTTTTCTGGAAGATTCCTCCCCAGAGGCCAATGCCAGGTAAAGCTAAGTGTCTGCTAAATTGTTTCTTTCCTGCCAGAGTACTGTTTTCATGACTATCTGACCCCTGGGCAACTGCAGAACATTCCAGAGAGAGAAAGGGGCCATCTAGTGCTCACTCTTTACTCTCCTTCACCCACTTACCTCCACTAACTTCCTGATGTGCTTGTTGATAACCGTGGGATCTGGCTTTGGCATCACCCCTGATGCCCACTCCAGGGGCACCACTGGCTTGGTGGGTGTCGTGGGGGAGGTAGGCTGCTGACAGAAAAAACACATTTCAGTTTTATCTGGGGCCTTGAGCAGTAAAGACTAAGGATACTAAGAAAGACACATACATTTTGTTTATTCATAATTCCAGGAAATATTTACACTTATGTAGCATTTAAGTGATTATAAAGCAAACATCTCTTGACAATGGAATCTAATCTGTAACTAAATACCGCTTTAGATAGAGCATCCTGTTTAGCACCAGACTAGAATGCATTATTTTATGTTATTTTAAAATTATTTTTCATTAATTATTTTTATTTATTTTATTTTTATTTTTTACATCATTTTTCATTTTTAAACAATATTTGCTTCCCCTACCCTCTCAGGTATAGTCCCCACAGCATTAATTATTTTTAATAGAGGTAATATTAAGCTACCCCCATCAGCTACCATAGTGAACCTACCACCAAAATCACCATAGCCCACCACCATCACCACCATCCATTCTACTTCCTTTCCTGTTTGCTCTTACCCCTCCCCCATCCTAGAATGCATTACTTTAAGTGGAAAAAAATGCTCTCTCAGTCTTTCCAAAAAGTCTATCCAAGTTCCCTAAATATAAGTAAAATATCCTTAAATACCTGTATTTAATACCTGTACAATCCATATTGACTTTTCTATAATACAAAATTTATAAAGCAGCAGTTATCTAATTCTTTAATACTTTGTCTCATTGATAAATTAGTACATGTGTGCAGGAACTGGGCACCAGAGCACGGCCAATTTGATACCCTTTAGCTGCCATCTCTCTTAAGACACATAATCACTTCGGTTTCGGCTAACCACTAGGTCTTTCTAGCCATCTTTGGTGACCTTGTTTTCTCCACATTTTTTTTTCCCATATTCTTGCAAGATACTTTCACTTAATAATTAGGAAAAAATGCATGTTTACATAGCACAAACAGGAAACACGATCCTATCAGGAGACCAGCAAGAGAGCCGCGTGCTCTATATCCTTGCTCTGAGATTCCCCTACCATGTAAATATGTTTGCTAATGTGTACATGCAAACTTATACTAACAGGTTTTTTTTTTTAATTTGATAAAAAATTGAGAATAAGCATTTTTGCAGGAAGGACTGAGAAGTAGCTTCTGATATAGCCCACAGTGTTATGAGTATTGCTGGTAATCCTATGAGATATTGACAGGACCCAAAATTGCCTGCTCTTTAGATGGGGTCGCTCTTTAGATGGGGTCACTCACACATACACACGCCCACATACATCCTGGCTTTTTCTAGCAAGTTTTCCATCTTGGTCCAATAAACTTTGTGTCCCTGACCTATGCAGGCAGGTTCCCCACCCACAACTCTGAACTCAGAGGGGTGCCAAAAGATATTTCAAACTACCAAGGGAAATTCAATGATACCCAACATTTGTTAGACACCATGTTGTTCACAGTTCACATATTATGTCATGCTCCATTTCTTTCAAGGAGAGGGTATCTTGTTTTTGGTATATTGTGTTTAGTAGGTAATGTTGATTTACACACTATATGTTTTAGGTGTGTAGTCTCACATCTCTGTAGGTGGATGTTTTCACACTGTGGCCACCACCACAGCATTATTAATAATCTCCCATCATGGTCTCTTAAGACACACCCCTCCTTGCTGCCCACCTGTGCTCTCCTCTTCTGGTCGTCTCAGTTCTGTTGAAAGATTTCAGGGGTTTGTTTTGGTTTGATTTCATCTCCTCTTGTGCTTTGTTCTTTGTTTTCCACATGTGATGGGTATTGCCCTCTGTTTGTCTTTCTTCTGACTTTTTTTGCTTAGCATTATCCCCTCTACTTCCACCCATGTTGCCACAAATGGCAAGATTTCATCTTTTTTATAGCCAAGTAGTATTCCATAGTGGGTGTATGATTATATATATTAATTTGTATATATATTTAATGTATATATATATACACACACACACCACAAGGATATCACATCTTTATGAGGGAAAAATCAAAGTGGAATGAAAAATAAAGATAGTAGTATCCAATCTGATTTCAAGATTTGAAAAACTACTAACTAACAAGTAAGACACTGGGGATCAGAGCATGTGTGTGTGCACTTTTGAAGATCCCCAGTGACAAAGCCTGCTCATTGATTTTTGGAACAGTCCATCGCTGGCTGATATTCCATTCTGACAATGGGGCATTGACTACTCAATTCATTGCAAAAGTAGTACCTACATTAGTAGGTAATTGTGCTTATTTAAAAATGAAATTTTAAAAAATTATGTGTATTATTTTTTCAAGTGGATACTAAGTCATTAGAACATATGTATTTATCTGTTGGATCTAATTACCTCTACACATGGAACCATTAGGTATTTCTTTTGATCAAGAGGCAGTGTGAAAAACAGAGACACTAAGTAAGACACAAAGAACTGTGAGGCATCAACAGAAAAAGGGCGAGGGCTTCTGGCACTGAACTTTTAGGTCAGATTGCCAACATTACCTGTAAGCACTTTAAAGTTACGGCTCTCAGTAATGCTGTCCTGCCTGGAAATTATTCCCTGGTTATCTACACATGTCAAAGGCTACACACAAAATAGGATGACATTCCACTTAGAGAAGAAACAGAAAAGGGTTGGGAAATGTGTTTTCTTAGACTCACAGGATTTTAGCATTTGGAAAGGGCTTTGAAAGCTTCTACTTTTACAAAAGAAGTAAAGAGTCTATGTTTGATGTAAATGTCTTCAAATGTTGGCAAAACGTTTTTCCTAAAAAGGAACTGAAATAAATCTAAAGAGCACAAGGTAGACAAGTGATCTCAAATGATATTCCTAACATACTTGAACAAGGGGCAGGTGGGGAAAAGACAGATAGCATGGCAGAAAAAGCACAGGCTTTGAAGATTCACAGGCCTGAGGCTGAACCCCAGTTCTCCCACTATGAGATCCCTCTTAGATAACTACGCTTACCAGATTTGGTTTCCTTACAGAGTTAGTGAGATAACATGTACACAATGCCTTGCAATCCAACAAACAGGAACAAGTAAGGTGCCTGGTTACAAGTAAAGGAAGGTGTTGGGAGGCGTGGACAGTGCAGCACCCCACACCACACTATGGCTTCATCACACCAGAGTTATGGAATGAGGGAGGAGCTTGGAAATTCTATTTACCCCCTAAACTTTACCTTTTTCTCTAGCTCTCTCTTAGTCACATTAACATCGAAGAATTTGGTCCCCACTCCTTCCTTTGTGGTGTATTCTCTCTACAACTCTGTTCTGCATTGTATCAGGAGATGGACCCCTGGGGACTAGCTGATGTGGACAAGCTGATGGAAGAATCACACTCACTAGTTTAAGAATATGCTATGAGGTCAACTGACACACTCAAGGGCTTGCCCTCTCAGAGCCCGAGAAAAGGCCTCACAGTCATCCTGCCTCTTTCAATTTGATGGGTCAGAGTCTCAGTAGGTATTAATAGATGCACAGCTTAGGGTCTAGATTCAGCTGGTAAGGAATTCTGCTGCATGGAAGAATTAGAATACTGATCTCAGGTTATGACTATAAAAAGCAAACATGGAATTGTTTTCCTCATGCAAACCTCCTCTTCTTCTAAATTTCAAGTTCAGTCAAGTAGTTTTTAATGCATACAAAACGCATCTAAGGTAAAACCCACGTGCCAAAACCAATGTGCAGGGTACATCCAGTTAGGCAGTTTCTTTAATCTCATTATGTACTTCTTTATTAAGAGTTAACTATCAATTAAGTAAGACACTATCTGATATTGAAATTCTGAGTTGAATCAATCACTAGAGACATTTAGGGATTATGATCAGAATATTTAAAATACATTAAATCTAATGTTTTTTAAAATGACCTTTTACATTTAGATGAGTTAGTCTTCCTTTTTTTGGGGGGGTTCCAATAAGTTGGTGAGTTCTCAAAGGGAACCCAATATATAGATGGTCCATAGTAAAAATTGTAACTATGGATGATGTTCTTTACTAGCCTTCAGTGTGTGAAGAAATAATCCTCAAATCATCAGTGCTAAGCTGTTCCACTGGTAAAATAAAAATAATACAGATTTTTTTTTTAATACAGATTTTTTTTTTTAACTCTTTACTTCTTAGGTCACAAAACACCATGGTGATAGCCAGTTACTGTAAATGACAAATAATGGACTTAGGCCTGATCCTTAGAGAGAAAACAATACCTACCGATTTAGAATTTCTGGGTTCCAGCACCAGTGACAGTTTGTAAATGTCATCTTCTGTGTGATAGAGGTCCAGAGAAAGCTACAACAAATTAGAAGGGATAAATAATTGCATTGGTTTATATTTACTAGTTTATTTACATTGCTGAGTATTTTTCAACTCAATATTTAAGCTCCCTGTCTAATAACTTGAGTGAATAAAGAGATGACATGCAGAGGTGGGAAATAAAATTCTAAGAGAAAATTAAAAAAATTAAAAAAAAATTTTTAAAGTTATCAGCTTCAACAAACACCACCGACTTGATTCCTCACTAGTATTTACTGAGTGGCTTCTTAGCACTGAGTTGGCAAAAAGAGGTCTTTAATGTTTATAGGCTAGAATCAAGGGCAGATACATAAAATCAGACTTGTAATAAGTTCTATCTTAAATGCTTGATTAACAAACTGTAGAAATAAAAGAGTAATTACATTTCTATTATTTTAGACCATCATGCTAAGTATCAGTGAAGCAAATGGTAGAAAATCATTTTCTGCCCTCAAAAGCCTGACAATTTATTTTAAAATAAATAGGACCTGGGCACAAAAAGAGATGTGTTTGCATCAACAATTGCTGAATGTGAAGGAATTTACCCCATTCTAAATGCTCTGAGGAAATAAAAAATGAGGGAACCTGAAATTGGTTAACTGAAATTGGTGACCTACACCTAGTTATTTCCTCAGTTTCTACATCTGTAAAGTGGGAATGATCATAAAAGTCCCTGCTGAATTGGACTTTTATCCAGTATGTCCCATGAGGTCAGAGCAGTTACCATTTTTGCAATTGTTCTTTTTTTTTTCAAATGAGACTGTAAAAATACAGGGACTTTCCAGTTATTTGCATATACTCAGAATGGTAAAAGTAACAGACAGGTCTAAAAATACAATGAAACGAATCAGACTGTTTCATATACCATGAAACAGAAACACCATCTTTTAAAGCTCCTGACTACATGAATGGGGATCCCAACAGAGAACATCTCTGAGTCTTCTCTGAAAAAAGGAACAACGCACATCCCGGCAATGTGTTGGCATGGGCTTCCTTCGTGTGCCAGTGGTGTTCAAGTGGCTAAGGTTACAATGATAAAAAAGGCAAAATTATAGTCCGCCCTCATGGGTTTTGTGCTCTAACTCTTTCTCTACATTTCCCTGAAGCACAGAAAGAGATTTAGTTTTTCCAGATGCAAAACAACAGTCAGCAATATGCCCACAAGGCAGAATAAATGTCCATCCAAAGCAAACTGTCAGAGAGACAGGAAGCTCCAGGCCTCAATTCAGAAATCTGGCATTTGCAAGCCTTTTGTCTTGTATGGGCTCAGTGTCTTTATTTGTAAAACAAGAAGGGGCTGGGGTGATGTGGCAGGGGCTGTCCAGCCCAGGCTATATCACAGTGAGAATCTACTGAGGAAATGTATGTGCATGCAATTATAGAAAGTTCAAGCGTTACTAAACAGCTGACTGCACGGAGCAGGCATTGAACAACTGTCCATTAATTTAGGAGTTCTCATTAATGCAAGAGTTCTCATCCTCATCGTGCATGGGCTTCCTCACCTGAGGCCATGTTTAGAAGCAATCGTTTACTTTAGGCAGAAACTTGATGGGGCCTTGAAGCAAAATGAATTGCCCCTTCAAATGTTGCATTATGGATGCCCTCACGTGTCTGAGCCCCACTGGGCTCTAAGGAACTTCTGATGAGTATTTCCTCTTCATACTGAGGAGATTGATCTGCCAGTGTCAGGAAGAATGGATATACATTCATATGCACTGAAATTTCTCTTGGCGGTGTGGAGAGAGGAAGGATCTTGGCTTTTAATAGAGTGACTTGTCTATCCTGAAAAGCCACAGGGTAGGAAGCACACAGTCTGGTTAACACTTGGTTCTTTACTCTCAAGGCACTGCCATTCCTTACATGTAGAATCACAGAAGTTTAGAATTGTGACAAGTCCTCACAAATGGGTATGAAGTTCTTTATGCAAGTAGACAAAGCTAAGTAACCTCAGAGTGTAGAGGCAGGCCTAAAAGCTAGATCTACCAGCTAAGATCCTTGCCAGCCTGCCAGTGTGCTATAATGTATAACAGTGCTGTGATGAGATAGGGTGTTTTAAAGGTTTCCTTTTAATGAGAAAGAGAGAGAAAGAGAAAGAGCCCATGTGAGCATGCGTGCGCACACAAGAGCGACAGCTGGCATCCTTTTTTCTCTTTGGAATAACAAGAATTTCTTAGCTTTAATTTCTAGCGTTCAGATTTTCTATTTGCATTCCAAAAATTTCTTTCAAAATGCTTCAATATTTCTTAAATGTCTGTCATGATGTTGCTTGCTGCATTTGTTACTCAATACTAATTTTGCAACACTACTCCATCATTATCTTTTATCTGGGTGAGAAATTGCCCAAATGTAGTTACCTGTGTTGTGAAGTTGTCCTCCACCTCATGGAGTCAGCCTGAACACAGACTCAGGAACCCAAGTTATGCCTTGAGACTGTTCTGCAGACATCACCTGTGTCTGTGGGTTTGTAGTCTGATTGGGGTGCAACTCATTCATGGAAACAGATTTACATGGCAAATGATTAATAAATGCAGGTGCCAAGATTATTGTGAGGTGTTTTCCCCTTTTAGAGAATATGTGTGTGTTTACTATTTGTTATACAAACTCAACCCCAAGAGATTCGTGCTTCTGTGATGGCCACTTCTGCTTATGCTAATGGTGCAGCTGGCATGACTGCATACACTTAGGGGTTCTATTCTTTGGTAAACAATTATATATTCTAGGAACAGTTTGTGAGAAGGTCTAGGAATCCCACTCTTATTCCCTGCAGCAGTCCTAGGAGATTTAGGTTCTCGTAGCTTCCGAGAGACTGCTGTTTTTATTGTCCATGGCCATTGAAGGACAAGTCAATTCAGCACTGCAGCCAAGTTTCAGATGCTACAGTATTACAAACCCAAACAGGGAAGTTGCTCCTACACTCCTGTAAGCAAGGGTGAGAGAATTTGGCTATGCTTCTCCTCCAGACAAAGAAGTAGCCAATGGGAAATGTTCTCTTCTATACACCTGTTATGTCTAAAAGTGCTAGGACTTGTAGAGTACCTGAAGGTATAGGCAGAGATGCCCAAACATATGAGTGGTAAGGCAGTTTCTTCTGTCTGACCCATGTCATTCCTAAATACAGCATTCATTTCATCTGTTGAGCTCCTCATTATGCCAGACACTACGAGATGTGCTGAGGACATGGAATATATAAACAGGCAAATGAAAGATCCAATGCAAAGTGATGTCTCCTATAGTTGAGGAAAGCATAAAATGCAGTTCTGCTTTGGAGGGGAACAAAGAAAGTGCCAAAAACACAGAGGCTTGAATCCTGAGCTTGTCAGAGGGGTGGATAGGGAAGGGGTTTTGAAAGGCACCTGGTGATATGGGACTGGGTGATAACAAACACAAACAAGGCTAGAAACTATGTCCTAAAGGATCTAGAAGGCTGGGAGCTGCATCCTGGTGATCTGGGGAAGTTGATAGTAGGAGAAGGAAGATCATAAAATAGATCTTTGCATAACTCCAGGTTTCAACTACAGCAGTGCCCTAAGGATATAGAGAAACAGAAAAATTGAGGACCTACAGAGGAGGTGATGATTGAGAGTGAGAGTCTGAAGACAGTGTTGGAGTTCCTCTCAAAGAACTCCAGAGATGGGAACTGAATGGGGAGACTGGGTTTCTCAAAGCAAAGAGAAATTTCTCTGCCCAAAGATTATAGCCTCAAGTCATGCTGGATATGAGTATAGGGTTCCCCCATCATTTGAGATTTCTTCCCACCTACTAGTCATGAATTTACATTCCCCCACATCCCCCCACCCCTGCCCACAGTGAATTGCTGGCACAGATATTCCAGCATTCCCTGGAAAGTGAGGTGCAGAAGAGTTGCCAGCACAAACTCCTGTCCCTTGGACTCACCGTGAGCAGGTTGATCAAATCCATGTTGGGTTCTAACTGGTGAGAGGCACTCTGCAGGGAGACAAGTTCACTCAAGGTAACAGAGAGTTGGTGCATCTTCACAATGTTCACTTTATTGTCCTCCATCCAGTCTGGGAAAATGACATGGACTGCTATCAAGTCTTTCAAGTGTACACCAAGGATGGGGATTTTGAAGCCATCACAGTCAGCAAAGGCCTTGCGGTAATTGCAGTAATTGCCATTGGAGGAGACCAGGTCTGTCATTTCATTCCAGTTCTGGGAACACATGGAAAAGTGGACTTTTCAAATAGAATTCCCTTTTGCCCACTCCCAGGTCCTGCAGTGTATGCCTATAAAATTCCTCTGCTACTGAGAGAAAAGTCAATTGCACCACTGTTGATGCAGAAAAATATTAAGCAGGAAAAAGAAAGAAAAGTCTAGTCTATTTGGCTATGAGTTAGACAGCCTATTCCCTTCTGCTACAAAATATAAATTGACCACACCTGGGCCTCCCTGGTGGTGCAAGGGGTTAAGTACCACACTACGAAGCAGCTGCCTGTTCTGTTCCCCACTCTCTCTGGTGAATCCTCTCACCCCCCACATCTCCAGCCTGTACCCCAGCTTTTGTATGAATAAATAAATAAATCTTAAAAAAAATTGACCACACCTCTGCCCACCTATGAGGGATGTTGGGAAGTAAGAGAGCATCATGTATGCATAAGTATTTTGTGATTTGTGGAAATATCAGAGTCCACAAATGCAAGCATGTATTATAAGTGTGCAATATATTAAAATTTCTAAATTGTTTCAAGAAAGTTATATTAGAGATATTACTTGAAGGTTAATCTAGGATGGCAAGTGGTGGGAAAGTCACACTGAGGGGTAAGATAGCTATGGATTTGGACACTGCCATGGAGTAGAAAAATGAACTGGTACAAGTTGTTTTATTTGGGGGGCAAGGGGTTCAGTTTCCTTTTCTGTAAGAAAGGAGCATTCAAATAAGCAATTTTTGAAGACATACCAGTGATTCCAAGCCTGTTTGAACTTTTGTTGAATTCGTAGTCTTCACAACTTTCAAATGTGTTATACTCTTTACAAAGCTAAAAGGAAACAAGATGCTTACGTAATGAGCCCCTGTCTACCTGGAATGACTGCAATGTTTGCAATCAGACAGTGGTATTTCTGTGGCTTCCTCTTGTGTATACGGGCAAGGTATTGTTCGTTGCCTAACAGCAACCGGACCTTCTTAACAGACCCCACTTTTGACCTTTTATTTTCCACATTAGCCCACCTGACTCAGAGGCAGCTGTTTCCATTCCCAGCTCCAAGGCTGGGTTCTGATTTATTATGATAATTGCATCTCTCTGGTTTGTGATTGATTCAAGAGTACAGTTGAGTCAATCAGTGCATCATATTTCTCTGGCAACATATTTCCCTATCCAGGGATAGGCATGTGACTTGAGATGGACAATCTGTCTAAAAGAAGGTCTTTAATTTCATGGTGACAGGGCTGAAGAGAGAAATTTTGCCTATTCTCAACTTTTATAGATAAGAAAGCAATATTTTTCTGTTTCTACACACAGCCCAATCAAGAGGAAAACCAGTGTGATGAAAACAAAACAAAACGTAAAAACATACTAGAAGAAGGCAAAATCCTTGAGCCAGAGTTCTGATCAGATCATGCCTGGAGTTGGTCCCTGCCTCTGCACTTCCAGGTATGTGAGAAGATCCATTTCCTTGTGTTTAATCAATTTCAAGAGGTTTTTTGTCTGATACAGCAATGTAGACTTACATGGAAATCTTTTCACAGGACAAAATGTTCTTTCTGCTCAATAAGGGGAATAATTATCATTGGGAATAAATGTGGCAGAACAGCTCAGCTTGAGAATTTCTATGGAAGGCCCCTGTCTCTCCCCTTCCTTTGTATTTTCCACTGTGTTGAACAGCACCATGAATTGAGCAGATGTTCAGTTACTTCATTTGAGGAGGGCAGAGTAAGCATTGCTTGTGTATTATTCATATTCTACTCCTGTGCCTGCCCTATATAGTGAGCACCAAATACATATGTTGACTATTTACAGCTGCAATGAGTAGTATGTCAGGCATTCTTGGCAGGACATTTGCCTCCCTCTCTGGCCTATTTTTCCAGTTGGGTTCAACTGATATGTCTACCCCCACAATAGGATACCCCTACTATCCTCCATGTTTCACCTACCATTGGTCTAAAAGGAAAACTTTCCCACTCTGAGTGACTTTTGCTAGCAGCAGAGCTAGCAAAGCCAAAATGATTTACAAATGCACTTTTCACTTGGGATTTCATTCCACCGTACCTTTGTAACTTCAGAAGAAAGATGAGAATGGGTTTCTTTGAGGCGTGAAATGGAACTGTGACTAAGGCCTCCCACCACTGCCATCAGGGTGTTAAAATTTTTGAGTTGAAGAAGTTTCTGCAATAAAAAAAGGTTAACATCAATACTTTGTAATGATGTAATGACCTTTTTACGAATTATAGGTGAATGCATGTGCAATTTTAATAACAAATTCTGGGTTTATACTTAGTAAAATAAGTCAGAAGAAGAAAAACAAAAACCAGATGATTTAACTGACATGTGGAATATAGATAAACAAAACAAGGGAACAGACAAAACTAAACCAAAACAACCCCTAAATATGATTGTAGAATTGAGATTACCAAAGTGGGGGAGTCAAGGCATGGAGAGTAAAGTGGGGGAAGAACCCAATGGACTATGAAGGAGGATAATAGGTTCTTGGGTGGTGGGTGTGTTGTCATAACAAATATCTGAAGAGTTGTGAGCCTACACCACGGTAGACCAATGTTACTTCAAAAAATAATATAATTTTTTTAAAAATCTGGAAGATTTTAATAAAAAGGATCTAGGAAGAATAATATAAATTTAAAAATAGAGTCCATTAGAAAAATATATCAATTATTTCACAGAAAAACAGCTACATTAAATGTTTCTAAGTATTGCTATTTGAAAGTAGATTTCTTGCCGGAGACTATTAGACATCCATGAGTAGTTTAATGTCTAATAGTCTTATATTATCAGCCCCAACTCCTCAATAACTTTTCTCAATAGAGTGAGTGAACATATATAGAATCCTTTAAGTATCCTGTCAGCAGACATACCTTGGCAACATTGATAAACTTTGTGATGACTTCTGCCCTTTGTTGTGGGGTTGGTTTGCTAAGAACCATCAGCTGGACCCACTTAGAGATTCCATTAAATAAAGCAATAGATCTCTCCAAGGTTGGGTTATTCTCCAGACAGCCATGGATGACATAACTTTGGTAATCGGTGAACTTTAAGAAAGGAATATTCAGAGACTCTATATTATAATGCTATCTTTGCAAAGTCAGAAGTTGAAATATTGCATGGTAGAGGTGAGATATAGTTTAAAGCAACATAATAATTTCTTACATTTCATATTTATAATAGCATCATACAGGTTTAAATACACATATACCTTACACATGCTATTTTCCTGCATTTTATATACAGACACATACTTCCATATACAGACACATACTTATTACACATCACAATATTGATGGGAGAAAAGGGTCAAAACTCTCAGTCATATTCCAGTGTGTCCTGATTTTGCTGGATCATCCTGACACACTGCTAATATACTAATTTCTGGGAACATCCCAGTCCATAAGGATCAGTATCTCCAGAGGGAAAAACTAAGAATTTCCATTTTTAACTCCATTTTTAACCAGTGACCCCAATGGTCAGGCAAGTTTAAGATAAAATGGTATACATTGAAAAAGAGGAAAACAACAAAATATATATAATGATTTCAACTCAGATTTATTTTATAAAGTTTTTCCAAGGGAAAAATAAAAACAAATAGCTGTGGAAGTAAGGGAGTTCTTTATTAAAATAGACACATTTCAGGAGGTCAGCATGGATATCCTCAATGCATATGAGACTTCCATTATATGACCTGTGCAGGGCAAAGCCTCTTGTGTCCTGCTTGTAGGGAAATTATTAAAGCTCTCCCCAGGTAGGCTTATTTAGAGAAAAGAGTCAGTCTTTTGGAAAACCATACTTCTTTGCAAGCACTATTTCCCTGGTACCTTGGAAAGGAGGTAAGAATGGGAGTATGGAGGGACAAAGACAAAGGCTATCTGTGAACCACTGTGAAAATATTATCATAACAAGTGGTTAGTAGGTAAGTGGTGAGGAAGAGACCCCAGTCTTGAGGAACTAAAAAGGATGTAGAGAGGGAATGATACTAAGAAGAGAAAAGGAAAGTTGCATTCAGGATCTTTGTGTCTGGGAAACAACCTGAGGCTGAGATTCTCCTTAAAATCTAGAATTCCTATTTTCAACGTATACCCCTATTTAGGCATTGCTACAAATCCAAACTTAAAGAAATATTTTTCTTCCAAATATAGGGCCTAGTAAAACATGGTCACTTGGGAGAAGTCAATGGAGCTAATAAACTCTGAATGGTTAAATCTCCACTGAATATTTAGAAAATCATGCTTTCATTTTATGAAAGGAGACATTGAAAATAGCGATAGAAATACAATCCTGAGCCATAAAATAAAGACAGGCTAATATTTTTCTTTGGTTAAAAGGGATTGTTCCCGTGAATTAAGGGCACTTTTCCAGGGGAGCATACCGACAGGGGCTGCCAACACTTCAGTGCGCGAAAACGGGGCTCTAGGGAAAGTTGGCATGGTGGTTGTTATCCTTGGAAGACTAAATGTTACGTTTCGTACCGAGATCCTTCTAAAAGATTTATGCTCCAGAAAAGTGAGGTGCTCAGCCAATTCAATGGGCTCCAGATGGTCAAATAGAAGACAGGCTTTTCCCTTCTTGGATATTTTTTTCCTCTGTGTGACTCTTCTCATCCAGTCATAGGAAGGACTATTAAAAAAAAGAGTGAGTCGGGTGAATGTGCTGAAAGCCCATTTCACTCAATGGAAGTTATTAACCTACTGACTCTGTAACTCTTGGCCTGCTTCCAGGGGTTTGTGCAAAATACATGTCCTGTCCTTCGTATCTAAAGAGAAAGCCACTGACCCATTGCCAACAGAACATAAGGAGTTGTTTTCCAGACAGGGTGTGTTTGCACTGATCCATCCAGAATCTCTTGTTTGGTCTTTCTTGTGAATAGAAATGTTTAGATCATAAAAGAGAGGCCAGAACTAGGCATATAAATTTGGGAGGTTATCAATGTACAGATGGTGATTTAAGGCACATGGAAACCCTCAGAATTGCTTCTCACAGTTCAGCAACATGTGTATTACCTGATGAATCTGCTGTAAAGAAGGAGACCTGAACCTCCCTCCCAGAGATTCTGATTTACTAGGGATGAACCCGAATAATCTGTATTTTTAACAACATTCCTGATAATTCCTGGTTTTCTCACTTTTCATCAGTCTTGAAGAAATATTCTTGAAAAATAGAATATGAAGGCCTAAGATATAACAGAATATACTCGCAAGATGGATAAACAGGCTTAGGGTAATAAAAGTTTTCTCTGTGCAAAGTTAACTAGTAGATTAGCACCAAATTCCTAGTAGCTGAACTAACTAGTTCTTGGCATATCCCTGGTAAACATTTGCACAGCTTCAACCCCACCTCAGAAGCATGTGCTACAGTGCTTCTCAAACTTGGATAAGGGAATCTTATTAAATGCATTTTCCATTCATTAAGTTTAGGATGAGGCCTGAGGTTCTGCATTTCTATCAAGCTTCCAGGTAATGCCAACACTGCTATCCACAGATCACACTCTTTAGTGACAGAGCCAGAGGAAGCTCTAACTAGATTCATAGTGAATACCTAAGTACTGAGCATCCATTATGTGCCAAATGTTTTTACATGCTATCTTATGTATTTATTGTTCATAATAATCCCATGAGAAAGGTACTACCCTCATCTACAAATAAAGAAATTGAAGCAAGGGACTGTGCTTATTCCTCAAAGAAGCACACCTTAATTCTGAAATGGTATTGATTGAAGTAAAGTGGCTCATCACTACTCCCTCCCCAAAACAGCAGGCTCATTATGTCTGAAAGAAACTTGCCCCCTCTTACATGCTGGATATGTCGATGAGGCTGATGTGTTTTTCATATCCTAATTGACTAGCTACTTCCCGGAATTCTTCAGTCATACGAATCAAACCAAGATCCAAATTAAACTCTGCAGGAAACTTCAGAATCCAGTACCTGAAAGGCATCAAATATTTTTGATGGCTGGAGGGGTTCAAGTTAGACTTCTGTAGAGATTATTGCATCACTTTGCAGATTACATTGAACACTGAATCCAGAACCATGGCCTAGTTAGCAATCCCCTGTTGCCCTCCTTCACACTGAATCGCATCCTTGCCTCCTTCAGTCAAGGACCACAGTCTGCCACTTTCCCTGTGAGCCTCTTCCTGACTCTAAAACCACAGCTGAGAGGAAACACTTCCCCCAATTCATGGCCAGTAGGTGGAAATGTCTGTGACACTCACCCTTTCTGAGAACCGATTTCATTCCCTAATTACAAATAGGGTACTGAGCTGCTACTTGAGCTCTATCTAGTCCAAATGCAAGATAAATTCAGGAATAGAGGAGGGCCATTTTTTAAAGATGGGTCTAAGTCAATTCTATTGTCAAACTAGGGCTGTTGCTTGGGGGAAAGGAAGTAGTCATCATTTCCTACCAGACACTACAAAATGATTAAAATTATAAATATATTCACCTCATGAAGTAGCAGATCTTTAATCGAAATTCATCGCAGCTTTCTTCACTGGCATTTCTATACGTACACAAGTTAAGGAAAACATCCTCATGCCTGGTTTCTTTTGCATATACCTATGGTTATTTGTTCAATTTAGATAGAATTGATAGAACATGGAACACCTTTGTAGGCAATAGATCTCTTATTCAGGATTCATGCCCTGTATACCTACTCCAATTTGAAAATGTCCCTTTCAGGTATATTCATGTGCATGATGTATTGCAATTGATTCTCAAGTCTATATTTACTCTTATTCTTTTATTTATTTTTTTTAAAGATTTATTTATTTATTTATACAAGAACGCGGGTACAGTCCAGATAAATGTGCGGGAGGGTGAGAGAATTCACCAGAGACAGAGCAGGGAGCAGAACAGGCAGACTGAAATACACTGCTGAGGGGAGCAGCGGGCGCGACAGGAGAGGTCTGTGCACCATGTGGGACCCTCTCCAGCCGGCCGGGATCAAGCCTGCGCTACAGAAGCTGCGGACAGCTTCACAGCGCAGTGCTCAACTGCCTGTGCCACCACGGGAGGCCCCTCTTTTTCTTTTAAACAAATATGTATGCAGTTCCTTCTGTGGGCCAGGCACTATGCATATGCAGTGAACAAAGAATCCAAAGGGAGGAAAAACTAAAGAAATGTCAATTCATGGGCAGTTTCAAATTTTTACAAGCTGTATTTTTTGACATTGGACTTTACTGTGCCTAAACAACCCTTTTTATTTATATTTTATACATCAGCAGACATACCAATGATGAGAACAGTGTTTGTGGGCACATTCATTGGACTGTGTTTGAGCATGATGGGGCTAGGCTGAGTCTCTCTGTCCTTCCCTGTGGTGCTCCCCGCCTATAGCCACACCATGGAGCCCCTGGAACACTGATGACTGGGGTCTTGCTCACTTCCGGGGGCCTCTGTTCAGATGAATTTCCCCTTACTCTCTCTGCTATCCCTTTCTGTCCTGGGATCACGGAGAGAAGGGAGGGGAAAAGTGGAAGGGTAGGGAGCTTGAAGGGAGCAGATAGGAGTCCCTCTTGGCCTTAATAACCCTAATGGACCCTCTCCCTCTCAGTTTCTCCATTCCCTGTAAGGCTTCTCATTCTTCTGCAGGACCCCCTGGGCTTGAAGTAGGCAGGGACTGCAGGAGCCACCATTAATGATTATATAATAAACATTAGCGCTTGGAGAATAAAACCTCCTTAAATATTTGAGACTATTTTGCCATTTTCAGTTATTTGGCTGTCAACTACCTTTCAGGACTGCATTATATACAAAAGTAGTGAACTATTAAATGCCCTTATTATAGAAGGGTTCTAAAATTAATCAGTCAACAAATTACAATAAAGTTGCTATAATATCGTGACTTGCCCTTAAGGAAAAATGTGCAAGTGTAAGTGGTTTGTGCCAGTTGATATATTTGTGTGACATTTCTACATGTCTAAACTGTATCTCTAGGTCTGCCATTTTGCCATCCTAGAAAAAATAAATTAGGTCTTGAATCAGTGTTAAATATACTTTCATTTACTACCAGCAGAAGTGTTTGACAAGTTGGAAACATTTAGTCTACAGCCATTTTATCTCATATCTGATGATTATTTTTAAGTAGCACCAAAACATCCAGATGGACAATCAACTATTTGTCCATCATCCAGATATTTTGTCTAGAAATCTATGTATATCCACAAAACAGCTGGGTAACTGACTGAAGGCTGTGCGTCACTACTTATTGGTTTTGGTTAGACACCCTCTAAATATAGAAATTGATTTATGATTGCAAAAATTACACAGTAGTTGAAAAGATATATGCAGAGAAGTTTTTCTGCCAGTTCAGTGGAAGATAAATACCATCGATGCATCAGTAGAACTATTCTTGGCAAATAACTATTATTCAGCTCTCCATTGTCATCTGTTAAAAAAATAAAATGAGAGGTGAGGAGATGATAGTACTACTCTTTTTCTAACATCAATAGAGAAACATCAGTGTCAAAAATTTCTTACAGATTCAATTATAGTTTTCCTTTCACTACTGGTATTTCCTTGCGAGTTAAGTGGGTAGGTCTCACCCTCACCCTGGCTTAGGGTTGCTAGACTTAGCAAATGAAAATACACGGGCACCTAAGTAAATTTGAATTAAGATAAACCACAAATACTATTTTACTATTAGTATATCTCATGTATTATTTAGGACATGTACTAAAAATGTGGTTTATCTGAAAATTAAATTTAACTGACCATCCTATTTTACCTGGCAACCCTATTCTAGTATAACTTTCTGTAGTGATCAGTTCAACAAGGACTAATCCAAAATGTTGAGGTTGATACACAAACAACATGGAAAACATCTATCTGTAGAATTGATAACCTGCAGGAGATATATGACCTATATGAAAATATAAAAGGCATCAGTCTATGATAACCACACTTGTCTAATTCAAATAAACAGCATATACTGTGGGTCATAAGAAAGTTACAGTGGGCTGTGTAGGGGATAGGAGTTTATCAGGACTCGTGGCAGGGGAGATCAGGAAGGTATCATGAACATAGAAGATAATATTTGAGATGTGACCTGAAGTAGGGTCCCCAAAAAAGAAATATGATAAAGGCATAGAGATAGAAAGATGCAGAGAATATTCCAGCAGTATTAGGTGGACAGTGAGCCTGGCGTATTAACTGTAGGCAGTAAAGGGAAGAAAATGCAGAGAGTGATAGTGGGGTGACAGATTGGGGTCAATCAAAAAGGCCTTACATATCAAGGAATGGAGATTGAAGTCTGTCCCACAACACTCTTGCATCTGACTAGGGCAATAGTATTATCAAGGCAAAAGGAATGAAAGGAGAAAAGGCTCATACCGAACATCTCGATGCAAGTGCTCAGCAATTCATCTAATGTTGCTGCTTTCCCAAGTCCGCTTGACCCCATGGTTATTAAACCGTTGTCAAAAAACTAGAGACATTTTCAGCATCAGACAGATCATCTCCATAATCATGCAAATTGGTGATGTTTGTGCCTAATGGTGGACACTGTCCTTTCTTGTACTTCAAGAAGATGCTAAAGAAACAAGAAGAGAAAGTTATCTGACTGGAGTTCAAACCCAATTGTGGCTTCATTTTTCTACCTAAAAACATAGTGACTTTCAGTGACTGTAACTTTCTATAAGAAAAATATCAAAATGACAGAGATTTCAGCAGCCACCATGATGGCAAATTCTGCTCAATTGTCCTTTAGTAAATATGGCGCTGAGACCACAGAGATATTCCTTATTAAAAACTGCCCCATTTTGCAACTGACACTTTGTTAATACAGTATTTTAGTCTCTTCTTAGTCTTTACTGATAATACATTCAAGAATATTATAAGCATTATTTGTTTAACATTATTACTAGTATATAGACAGAAATAAAGTTTAAAGTGCAAATGTATTTATGAGAGTTATCTTCAGTGATCATATACATGTTCAACAATTGGGAAAAATAGCTGATGTTCCTACCTTCCCTAATAATAATGTTATTGTTAGTAGTAAAAATGCTAACAATTTGTTGAACATCCACATTATGTGCTAGGCATCACACCAGCTGTTTTACATATATTCCAACTCATAGCAATACTGTGAGATAGTAATTATTATTCCCAGTTTAAAGGTAGGGTAATAGGATTCACAGATATTCCGTGACTTATCCAAAACCACACAATTATTAAGGTCTAGTATCAGGACTCTGTTATAAAATAAAGCTTTGGAGTTTCTCTTTTCTTTTAATTGTTCCCACAAGCGTGGGTAGCATAAATTGTCATAATTTTTGCCTCCTGCTAAGATAGTGTGAATAACATAATTCCTTCATAGCTTCTCTGGGATTACAACATCATTTTATTTTACACAGCAAGTTCATACAGGTCTTTGAGAAGTACAAAAGGCCTCATGCTGTAAAATATTATCCACTTGGGATTATTTAGTAGGTACACAGACCCACTGAGAATGAATTTCATGAACTGTTTGAAGTTAATATCTATTTTACTCAAAATTTATTCAATAATCTGATAATCATTGAGCACTTAACATATAGTTAGGCACTGGCCTGGGCATTGAGGCTGATGAGATGAACAAATCATTGTCCCTACATTCAAAGGATTCATAGTCAATTTAAGAAGCAAACACGTGGATGAACAGGAGAAAAATAAACTAATGTCCATATGTAGAGTTGTATTAGTTCAGTGGGTGTACATACCACACAGTGACATTTGAGTGAGTCTACTCACCAGGCATATAGCTCTGCAGGAAAAATGTTTTCTGTCTATTATTTCTTTCTCATTTTTAAAAAGAGTTTTTAAATTTATCTATGCATACAAGAACTGGGGTACAGGCCAGAGGTGCACAGGGCAAGAGGATTCACCAGAGAAACAGAATGGGGAACCGAACAGGCAGATCCACTGAAACATACCACAGAAGGGAGCAGTGGGCGAGACAGGAGAGGTCTGCTGTGCCATGTGGGTCAGCTCCCTGGACGGGGATTAAACTCATGCTGCAGTGATGGTGATAGCTTGATAGTGCTGAGAGACTTTAACCCCTGTGCCACTAGGGAGGCCCCTGTCTATTATTTCTGTGTAAGAACCATATTCTTGTGCCAAAGATACCACTCTTAGAGCATGAACAGAAAGACTGCTTTATGTATGCAATAAAAATAATAGAAACACTAGATTAATGCTCTCCCACTTCTGCTGCTCAAATAATTCATGAAAGTGCAATAAGAAAGCTGTAGGAAACAAGTCTTTGACATCTTTCTTAAGCAAGTTACTTTATTGGCAAGGCCTTTCCTCACCACCCTATTTAAACCACCACCACCTCCTCTCTTTCTGTGCCCATATCCTACTTGGCATATTCTACCTTGCTACCTGGATTTATTTTTCTTCATAACACATCACCATCTAAAATACTTTATATTTTACTTGTTTCTAAACTCTCTAATGCTGTAATATAAGCGCCATGAATGTAGGGATTTTTGTATATACTTTCTGATGTACTTTCCAACTCCTGAGATATTTCCTCTCCCAGAGAAAATACTCCAAAATAAGCATTTGCTGAATGAATGAATGATTGAATAAGTGAATAAAATAAAAACTATCTAAAGCCTGTCTTTGAATATGCATGTTTGGATGAATATATATATTTATATGTACAAATTTTAAGAGGTTATATTTTCGTTTCTTTTATTAATTTAAGTAAGTTTTTAGTAAACAACACTGGGACAGAAGCTCCTTCCAGCTTACAAACTTTTTTGTTAATTAGGCCCAATAAATAAATATTTTTTAAAAATAAATAAAAGTAAAGCATTTTTAAATCAAAACAGTATACATGCAACATTTAAAATATGACAGTAAAGAAAAAGGAAAGGAAAAAAGTTATCCATAATTTCATCACCAAAAGTGTAATAATGCTCATTAATATCGTGACATGTTTCTTTTCATTTTTCTAGGCATATTAGTTTTGGGGAATTTCTTACAGTAATTTAAAGAAATACATATTGGTTTCACACAGACATATTTCCAGGCCTGAATGAATTTTAATGGCAGTTATCATTATTAAAAAATGCATTGGGGAGGGCCTCCCCGGTAGCTCAGTGGGTTGAGCACAGCGCTGTGAAGTTGTCCGCAGCCTCTGCAGCACGGGTCCATTCCCGGCCAGCCAGGGAGATTTCCACGTGGCGTGATAGATCTCTTCTGTCTCTCCTGCTGCTCCCTTCAGCAGTGTATTTCAGTGGATGTGCCTGTTCTGCTCCCCACTCTGTCTCTGGTGAATCCGCTCAACCTCCTGTGCTTCTGGCCTATACCCCAGCTATTGTATAAATAAAAAATAAATCTTAAAAAAAAATGCATTGGGGAAACAATTTATAGTACTGGTTTATCCAATTTGAATTCTAAGTACTTTGGCGAACCTGATAAAAGAATAGAAAGAAATCCCCAAACAGAATTAAGTAATAGAAACCCCAAAGTAATGGGAACCCAAAAGAATCCACACTGTATTAAAACATTTTACCAAAAACCTTGAATTAAAGTTGTTTTTGGAGATTTTTTCTAAACTTCACCCATGAAGTCAATTAAAAAGAGAAAACATTCAAGATAATTATCTGGTGATGTGTTTTTTAAATCAGGTAGTTTTTTTTTTTTTTTTTTTTTTTTGTTCAGCCTTTTAAAAACCTCTGAATGTGTTTCAAAACCAAAATCAATATATATAATATAAAATACTATTTTAGTCCAAATATGTAGCGAATTACTCAGAACTTCCAAACACTGATTTTGGAATGTGGTAAATCTCTAGATTTGCAGTTTGTTTTGGGGCTCATCATATTCTGGCCCTGATCATTCCTAACTAGCCAACATGAATGTCAGTGTTATTTTAATCCAGGCTGTTCAGTCTCCCAATGGTTTAGGACTTGCTTTAGTGTTGACTGCAATCAAAATTATTGCTCCCCAGCACAGACTTTTTCTCAGAAGTCTGAAAAGGAAATGATAAAGCCAAAATTTCCCCAGAGCTTGAATTATCTCTGAGAGAGAAGTTCTCATTTCCAAAGGGCAATCAATGTGTGCTGGGTGTGATTTCCAGAGTTCATGATGTGTTCAATGAGTAAAAGACTTATATTAATATGACTGGTTAAACCTCTATCTTCAAAAATTCCTTGTGATTGCCTGGAACAATCAGAAATGTGTTTCCAATAATTATTAGAAATAGTAAAAAGGAGCCAATTCCATGCCACTATCCTTGAGCTGATATAAATTAGAACTCCAGAATCTCACTTCAGAAGTTTTAGAGTTTTGAAAATTGGTTATCAATAAAACAGGGAAATGCTGTTAATGCCATTTAAGTAAAATGTCATTAATGTTGGTTAATTCACTAGAGTGAGGTAACATAAAATGTATTGGAAGAGAGTGGAAGAGAGTGAGGTAACATAAAATGTATCCCCCATGTGGCCTGTTAAACACTGGATGTTTGGGGAAATATCTTTTATCTGCACTACCTCTTCCTTTCCAATATTTAAAGACTATGAAGTTGGGGGACATAAGCTAAAGTAGAGGACCCATGTATAGAAGTGACAGGAAGAGCGATGTTAATTTAAAGAAGGGAAAAGGAAATAGAGGAGAAAATTTTGACACAAGAGGGTAGGTAGTAGGGCAGGCAGTCTCGTCAGCAATGGAATCCTATTCCTGAAATCAAGCCAAACTAAGGTAATGACTGTCAGAGATGTTGTGGACTGAATTACCAGCTGGTGTCTAGGAAGCATGCCAAGATGAGAGTGAAGTTTCCCCTGGCTCTAGATTTCAGGATTTAAAGGTGAAACAATATATCTAATAAGTATTCAGCAATCTTGAAATGATAATGGCCATGTTCAAAATTCCAAAGACTATCTTGTCTATCCCAAGGAAAAAACAAATGAAAATACTAAAAACTCTTGAAGACCCTTCCTAGTGGCGAATATATGTATGTATGTATGCATGCATGTATGTATATGTATATGTGTGTATATATAGGTATATAAATGACCACCTATATGTCTTTACATTCTTTGACCTTCATAGGGAGATAAGGGGGTTCTCTAAGTGCCTAAATCCTCTGTGTTAAACCTTAAGGATTAAAAACTAAAGTGTCATAGTATTTGTTGTTCTGGCAATAATCAAGCTTAACTTCCCTTTCTCACCACAGACATGAGATCTGAAAAGTGCTATAATTATATTCTCTAGACCCCATAGGATAACCAAAATTATTGCATTTAATGAGAGAAATAACAAAACTGAAATAGAATTTATTTGACAAACACTAACAATCTGTTAGACACCAGAGACTAAGCAAGGTACAAGTGTGACTGGTAAAAGATGTTAGGGACAATTGGAGAAAAGGATAAATCTAGAAGCAAGATAGATACAATTCTTGCTTTTTTACTCTAGCAATGAATTAAAGTCATAATTACAATAAAATATCCTATGAAAGGTGAGGGGTGCTGACTAAGCCTAGGAGTCAGAGGAATATACTGACCTGTTGCCTACGGAGAATGAGCAGAAAGGAGA